GGTGCCAGGCAATCCTTCAGGCCAGAAACTAACCGTGCCGTTATCGCAGGTTCAATTAGGCAAAATCGGTCACCTCGATTTATTTGAGGGGTTTCTTTACGTAGTACCTCCCTCTCTGCGGCCCATAGCGAGCTCCGAAAAGCGGTCGTAGCCCTGCCTTAAGGTAACCTGCCATGTGGCAGCGCAGTCAAGCGCAGTCTAGAGTACGAGGTATAGCAGACAGCATCAATTCGCCGGTCTAGCCCCCCAATTTTCTTCACCACCCACGCATCCGCTCCCAAGCCTCATTCACTAGCCACTGCATCTTATGCACAACAACCTCCTCCTGTTGGTCTCCGCCAAAAGCCTGTGCGCCTAAAGATGCCCTGAAACCTTTTTCAGATGGTTGCTGATTCGCACTCGAAAAAAAAAACCGAAGCTTGAGGCTGACTTTTCCCCCTTCCCCTTCAAAGTCCCAGGGTCACATTCCGACTCCCCAGCGTCACATCTGAACCACGAGATATAGCGATCGAAACCTGTTCATTACGGGTACAATCTTCTTATTCAGGCCTGTTTCATCCATGAATCTTCACGATCTCGCACCCGCAGCTTGATTCTCGAACTGACCTTGAAGAATTGAAAGATTTCGACAACCCTGACACCCTGCTGCTACTCGTAGATCGGCCCCGACTCATCCTTCGATGCTGACTTGGTCGCCTCGCACGTGAGTGTACAGGAGTATCAATTTGTGCACTTGTCAGCGATTCGAGCTTGCCAAACCCCCAATCCGCCACCCGACAATGTCGGAGCAAGCCTCACATCGGTCGGCCAGCAATGGAAGCCCGCCCCCTGATGATCTCGAGCACGAACTCGATGCCTTTGTACAACCGCTGCTTATTGACGATAACGTGGTACACAGCCTGGCATATAAGTTCTCCAAGGTATATGGGGAGCTAGCCTTATGCTCCGAAGAGCAATTTCTGCCTACTCCTGTCACCAAGTTGCCCACTGGTCATGAGACTGGTCAGTTCCTGGCCATCGATGTTGGAGGCACCAATCTTCGAGTTGCATTCATCGAATTGCTGGGCGACGCGGAGGAGCTGCTGCCTACAGCCAATGAAGTGGAACGATCACGTGAGACTATTCGGAATGCTCAACGTCCTCGTGTGCGACGGACGCTGGAGAAGGCGTGGCCCATCGGAGAGCATTTGAAGATGGACAAGACAGAGGACCTCTTCGCCTGGATTGGCGACTGTATAGCAGAGGTCGTTGGGGATCGGTTGACCTCAGATATGGGCAAGGTGGATGTTCCCGACGAGCTCCCAATGGGCATCACTTTCAGCTTTCCCATGATGTAAGTCGAGACGGTGTATGGAAGGATCCAATCACTGACAAGGGACCTAAGGCAAACCGAGTTATCCGCCGCGACGTTGATGCCCATGGGGAAAGGTTTCACTATCAGTTCTGATCTCGACCTTGGATCTACTCTATTACAAGGCTACGCCCGCCACACACGCCGACAATCTCCCACAAGCTCGTCACCAAAAGCAAAGCGGAGAAAGCTCGGCCCCCTTCCCCGGCTCAAGATCACTGCCATCACCAACGACACGATTGCCACTCTCGCTTCTCTGGCATACACTGTCAAATCCCTCCCCAACTCTCGGGTCGTCGCTGGCATCATTGTCGGCACAGGGTGCAACGCTACGATTCCCATGAAGTTCTCAAACTTGGGAGAGGCCAAAGTCGAACCCATCAGAAAGAACAAACCTCATGCTACCGAGACGGTTGTGAATACTGAGATCACAATCGCCGGTGCTTGTGGCCCTTTACAGGATATCACAACGGAGTGGGATCGTCAATTGGACCTGGCGTGCGCGCGGCCGGGCTTTCAACCCCTGGAATACATGACTGGAGGCCGATACATTGGAGAGCTGATTCGCATTATTTTCTTTGACTACATGACGCGTGCCCACAAACCACCGGTGCCAGCAGCTTTTCTTCCCGCCACGATTGTACACAGCTATAGTTTTAGCACCACCTTTGTGAGTGCCGTCGTTGCTCGAGCCCGGTCAGATTCAGAATTGGCTGGTGAACTAAAGCGTCGCATTCCTCCCCCCGAATCTTCGAACTGGGGATGGACACCGCATTCGGCCGGCGCACTCCGCAAAATTGCGCAGCTGGTTCAGGTTCGGTCTGCTGGGCTTATTGCAGCCGCCACAGTCGGACTTCTGGCTACTGTGGGCGAGATCGCACTGACAGAGCCTGGCAGCCCTGCGTCAGTTCCTGATGCGATGGTCTTGACCGACAGTAAGCCAGCATCCCCCAAGTCAAGCGTACCTTCTCTTCCACAACGTGACGTGAGAGATGGGCTGTCGCCCGCCCCCGGAGCGACAGCGTGGAAGTCAGGACCCGAGGAACTGGTTATCGCTTATACCGGCGGTATCATTCAACACTATCCCAACTTCAAAGAGCAATGCCAACGGTTTATCGACCGGCTGGTAATGAGAGCAGGTCCTCAAGACGGCGGTAAGAGTGTGTTCCTAAGAGAAGCTCGGGATGGCGGCATTATTGGTGCTGGTGTCCTTGCAGGGATGGAGACTCAGGAACGGGGCTTGTCATAACAAGCCTAGGCCTTGACGTGTGCGACATCTTCGTCGCATCTGGATATGCTCTTTTGCGACTTTTAGTTGCGGCCAGCAGAATGTAGGCACTGCCAGCCATTCGATTGAACAGATGAGACGATTGATCGACAGGAGACAAGTCTCGAGGATTCGTGGGAAAACCCCGGTGGTTCAATCATAGGGGAAATTGTGAACTCGAAGCACGCATGACGCAGGGTCAACCCCCTGCGTCTGGGAGGACTGTGAAAGGAGCTGCTGGACCGTTTAAGAAGCCTCGGGTCCAGTAGTACGGTGCACCATTAACGAGGTGGTTCCTCAATCTGTCACGGACCCCTCGTACAAACACTCCGTGCGACGGCGGGTGATGCTGACGCAGACATTCTCGTACCGAGTACTCGCGCGTACTTGAACACTTAGCGAAAGGAAAATTGGCCTCGTGGATTGGTGGCGAGGCAGGTTAGTGGGTTCCAAGGGCGCAGGCACGCAGGCTTCAACCCCGCGAGTTTTAACCGAAGGATCCAAGGACCAGGTTAGGATCAGCACCAGCACAGACACCACAATGAAGGGGTCCCACGCAGGACTTGGGAGATCTCAGTGCGCGACCAAGTGTATTTTGAGGAACAAAGGCGGCCCGCTGGGTACATACCCTATCAGTACCAATATACATAGACTTCTAACAAAGGAGAGAGGTCTGGCTGGGTAATCATCGATTTGACTGATGATTACTCGAAAAAGACTCGATGTCATCAGATGAATCATGACCTCCCGATTCTGAAACGGAATGACCCCGGGAGACGATTCGACAACTTTTGGAGATCTCCGGCTGTTCTCGACGGCCAACCAGCCATGAGTGGCTGCAGTGCTTGCATCAAGCTTGGACCATCTCTTTTGTGTCTGTGTGTTCATTGCCTTGAACGGGCCATCTCAGCGTCGCCGAAGTGTATCCATCAAACCGCTGCAGGTCTCAGGGTCCAGGCCAAATTGAGGCATTCTGATGGTGCTCAATGGTTACTCCGGATGAGGTGGAAATATTCCGTCCAAACTGTATGAGGTACTGCTCGGCTGTGTGACCGGACTCGATGCTGTACTGGCTGAGGAAGGAATGCGTGAACCCCGGATGCGCGTGTACTATTAGGCGACTCGGTGAAATCGAAATTTGTGACCATTTTGCATGGGGACATTGTTGTTGGTTGGGATTGAACACGAGGATCGGTACGTGTAGACGAGCGCAGCCAGCCCAAGTTGATCGACGTCTCGGAGACACGCGACCAGCACTTGGACAGCAATTCATGCGAGACTCCTGCTCCTGCCCTGTTGGGGTTTTCAGGGCTTTCCGGCTTCCTAGGCTTGATCTTCCCTAGGCACCCTCGGCACCGAGCGAATGTGATCAGTAGGCTCCATGCTGGATACATGGGCTCTTAGCTCTTGCCCCGTCAGCTCTCGCTTTAACCCAAGAAGGGGCTGATTGACCGAAAAATGGCGTAAGGAGATCAGCCCATCCACCCTCTGGGCAGTGGGCACCACTGGCAACCCGCCCTAACCACCTTCCCCCGGTCGACGCATTTTTGGTTGCGGAATTCCTTTGCCCCCAAATTCCCCCCCAGGAGTCCAGGACCGGGTCTGGGTCTCAGGTGCCGATGGTGTTTTGGCTGGGCCTGGTGCGCATGTCGGTGTGGAGAGGGTCATCTTTTTCACGTTTTCACTTCGACCAAGAACTGAGTGATGTGCACTGAACGGCCAACGGGCCCTCCACCTTTTCCCACTCACCCGCATTTTTTGCTTTGGCTGCATGATCATTACATCGATCCCTCTTTCTTGTCCAAACCACTTATTTGTATACGACACTCGTCTTCTCGACATCGGCTCGGTCAAACTCGAACTCGTTAACGTCGCTCGTTGCTCCTGCAGCAAAACCATCTCCCGTCGCCCCTCGGAAGCCTCTGTCTCCACCACTTTAGTCGGTGTCGTCCATCGACTTGCTTCAACCTTCTCCGGTGCCTGAGAACCTGACTTGCCTGCTTCCCCCGTCGATTGCGAGAGGCGTACCTTGTCTTCTGCTCTGCTATGCGCAGAGTGTCGCAGAATATCCAGTCTTAATGGGCGCAGTCGGACTTTCACCCTCTTGCTCGCTGCGCACGGGTTGCTTTACTTGGAAAGCCAGAGAAGAAACATGAGCCCAATTCCAACAATTGAAGATGTCCTTCATGTCTGGGTTAGGCGCGATGAACCAGATAATCCAGAACAGAGACCGAGTGACCCGAATGGACTCGTCCTTGAAGCTTGGGGTGGGTAGTGCCTTGTCTACCAGTCGTCGTACAATCCTCGCATAAGAAGCAGTGGCTGACAAAAAACTTTTCGGAGACAACAGCGCAGGGGTACATGGTCGGGTCACTCATCATCATGTCCTGCATCACATTGGCAAATATGCGGAAAGGTGTTTTGCTGCACAAATTGATTCTGCTCGAGGTAAGTTGGACCGATTGAACCCCTTGGGCGCTTTATGTTCTTGGGACAGTGACTGACCAGTTACGCGGGTTAACAGCTCGTCCTCGGGTATTGGCAAGGCTTCTTTATCCTGTTCAACCCACCTGTGTACGCCTGGTGGCTCTCTGTAGCCGCCATTCCGCTCAATATTTCCTGGTGGTTGCATAATGTCATCGCCTGGATGAAGTTAAAGCCTTTCCTCAACAAGACAGTCAGTCGGCTTTTTATCGGGACCGTAATCTTGGTGATACCGTATTGGATTGTCGAGATATATGCCAACTTCACCTACTTTCACAACGTCAACAAGGTCTTCTTGAAGACACGACCATGGGAAGCGCTGTGCCGGGATCCTTGGTGGATATTGGCAGCCTGCCTCCTGATATACAACATCAAGACCAAGTACGACTTGACACTAACGCAAATTGTTCGCATCTCTCCTCGTTTTGCCGTCATGCTTGGTGCCATGGTGCTCAGTATATGCTTTATTATCCTGGACGTCCTCTCGGTTACCTCGGCCCTCAAGTCTGTGTTACCGGTGGGCATCAACCCATTCTGGAAGCTGTCCTTTGTCTTCAAGTGCTTGACCGACTCGGTTGTCTTGGACGATTTCAAAACAGCTCTAGATCGATTGAGGCATTCAAAATGAGCCGGCTTGGCAGCTTCGCTATGGATGCGGCAGACTATCGCAACAAAAAGCACACGGAGGACGTGAATGCCGCCAACAATTGGAGCACTCCCCCCCCTCCACCAACCGGGGATAAAGCCCAACCGATCGCCCCCCTGCCAATATTACCCAGCCCTGATAGCGACTATATCAAGCCTCGCTGGGAGGAGCTTAAACATGGGCGCTCTGCCCATTTAGAAAACCGAGACTCGACAGAGATTGCTCGAAACGGCTCGAGAGATCGCGACCCAGAGGAGAATCCCTTTGACGCGATAGACTATGCCGATCCTCAACGAGAGTCCAGTGACACTCAAATGCTCAAGGCAAATTCCAGTTGGCTGCAACGGCGGTCCTCTGAAGAAACTTCTGACGCCGATATAGAATATGCCATGGCGGTCCGGTCAATGACCAATGATTCCATGGAACAACAACGCAATCGAAGCAAATCAATAGGTATTGCCAAGTGAGCTTCAGAGGTCTGCCCCGGAAGGGCACCACTTGACCATGGTTCTCCCACAGTTGTCACAGCGCTGAGCGCATCACAGAGTCGTGACAATCTGTATTGGCCACCAAATTGTCCATGCAAAGGGTGAACCTGTCAAAGTCCGCCAGCCCAACACAGCTGTGGCAAGTCTTTGCAGAAAGGGCATGCTGCCTTCACCACCCGCCCGGCTCTGCCGTCACGACGGCAAGAGATAATGTTCAGTCAACTGACAACGCCGAGCAAAGAGCAGTACGCATCAGACCCGGCAACCAGATGCCTGACAGAAGGCAGAGGCATGGACTGAATGGACTGGCCTCGGAGCTCTGAATGAGTACGGAGCACCCGAAGCGGACTCTAAGAATGAGGAACGAAGGAATGGATCTGGGATACATTTTCCAAAATTTTATTGCAAGGATACCCCGTGATGTTGCCGACACGTTCATACATAGCGAACTGGCCTGGACTGGAAAAAAAGGTAATTGCATTGGATTTATATGCCTGGACTGTTTCTTGTAGCGTTTACGTGTGGTTGCTTGTACACAAGTAATAAACATTCAGTACTGTGTCCGTGTCTTTATGATTATGTGTACATGTATATTTACAGAAGCTCGTGCACGAGTAGCTCGAGCAGGTGTTCGAGCGATACCCCCTGGCCCCGTATGCAGGGTGTCGCAATTTGACTGGTTCGCGGGCACCCAATGAAGCCCCGGCCGTTTCTTGGCACGAGGACCCTCCCGAGCCACCCTCAGAACAAACGCGTCTCCAGGCCTGCGCGGTTCCCCAGTTGATACTTTGTACAAGTCAGTACTTTCTCTAATTCTTCCAACAACCCCCAACTTTCCTCCCTCGCCACGGAAGTCTGTTCTTGTCAGCATTGCGCCGGCGCTGGAGGACTTCTGATATGCCGGCAAATGTCTCAGTCGTCGAATCTCTTCTTCTGTCAGATCGATAAATCCATCCCCTATGGATGTCCTCTCGACTAGCACCCCCAACGGGGATCCCGGACCTACAGCGATATTAGAGCCCGTGGATCCCCTCGACGTCCTCGAACATATTGCCAATCTGATTGAGACTACACTGGGTGCTGCCAGGAGAGAGCTCGAAGCAGTTGGCAGCCTTTTGTCCAAAGCCAGCCGTCCCGAATCCCTCAACAAGTGTGCTCGATTTGCCACAGATCCTCAGATTACTCTCTATGCGCAAAAGGATGTTCGGGAAGAACTGGTTAATGGTCACGATGACACCCCAAGTCAGTAATGAATCGGGGCCTAAAGATAAACACTGCTAATCCATCAGCAGAAATCGAGCATCGATATACCCTTTCATCCGAGTTGTCCCCTGCACAAACGACTGTTGCCACGATCGCCTTTTTGAAACTCTCCGGCCCTCTCGATGCACGGAAGTCGATAGCCAGTCAGATTCAAGTCTTCAATCTCCCGGGTTCCTACAACATTGGTGGTGAAGCAAACACCGGCGGAGACGTTATCTCACCCTACGAAGTGGTCTACTCGCTCCTACACAACGTTCTCAGCCCATACTTTGAGGCGTACACCCGGCAGCATGGCTCCATCAACCGAAACTGGTATGACCCCCAGGCAAAAGGGGGTATTCCTGGTGCGAAGAGAAGGATTGCGGAATTGGAAATGAGTCTCCTGCACCTGCAGCAAAACACTGATATCCCAATGATACACTTGCCCATGCATGAAGTGGTGATGGGAGCCGTACAAAATGCCGAAGCACAAGGATTGTCCCCTTCTGTGCAATTGATTCCGGCTCACGTCCTTGAGAATACCACCGTTCTGAACAGCATCCAAAACCATGTGATTGGCTGGATCAAATCAATACAGAATATCACCAAACTGACCAAAGATGTCAAGGATGCGACACCCGCACAGACCTCTGCCGCGCAGGAAATTAATTTCTGGTTGTCATTGGAGGCTTCGTTGAATAAACTAGTGGAAGAAATAAGTCTCGACCATGTCCGTTTGACGTTGGAGATTCTCAAGAAAGCCAAGCGGCAACAGGCGGTTGTCAGTTTTGAAACCGACACCGGCTGGAGAGACGCTCTCGAAGTCGTGCGGAACTACAACACGCTCATGAGGGACTTTCCCTTGGATGAACTGTCTTCTGCAACGTCATTCCAGAAACTGGCAGAAGCTCTTGTCCTAATCTTCAATCATCTGAACAAGAAATGGAGGGTGTGCAACTACCCCATTCGCCGAGCACTCAGGCTGGTGGAGGGTATCTCGGAAGATATGAACGCTCAGATTCTTCGTCTGCTTCAAGGCCGCTCGATCATGTCACTCAGCTGGGACGAGTTTACCGACCTAATGAACTCAGTCAACCTGGTCTGGGAGACATGGGATGATCAGATGAAGAGTTTCACAGCTGTTGCCCGGGAGATTACAAGGCGCAAAAACACCGACTTTGTGCCCGTGAAGATAATTCCTCGACACGCTCAAACTCAAGAACGACTGCGGTACGTCTACCGCTTTCGGAACGACCACGAACAGCTACGTCGGACGATAATCAACGTTCTTGGATCCAAAGCCCACACAACGGACTCGACTCGACCAGCCGATGATGGTGGAGCTGCTATCATCGAGGAACTAGGAGATGTGGATGCCGTTGAGGAAGTTGCTGGAGCCTATGACATTGTCCGCCATGTGGATGTGTTAGATGTGTCTCCGAAGGGGACAGAAATATGGGTGCAGGCTGAAATGCAGTATACTGAGCGCACATCTCGGGTGGAGGATTCAATCATCACCAGGCTTAGAGATCGGTTAGGCAAAGCGAAGACGGCAAACGAGATGTTTCGAGTGTTTGAAAAATTCAACGCTCTACTGGTCCGCCCCAAGGTTCGGGGCGCTATCGCCGCATATCAGACCCAGCTTCTGGACAATGTCAAGAACGCTATCGCTTCCCTCCACGAGCGATTCAAACAGCAGTACGGTGGCTCCGAAGCACAGATGATGGCTCAACTTCGCGACATCCCTCCTGTAGCAGGGGCAATCCTGTGGGTCCGTCAAATCGAAGCACAGTTAAACAATTATATGTCCAAGGTTCAAGCGGTCCTAGGAGAAGACTGGATGCTACATACCGACGGGGAGAAGCTCGAAGCGGAGAGCAATCTGTTTCGCAAGAAGCTAACAACCAGGGACATCTATGAGGCATGGCTTAGGGATGTCCAAGCGAGGGACATCTCTGTCACCGGCAGACTGTTCTCTATTTCTCGGAGTCGTACAGCTAATGGTGCCATGGAGCTCATTGTGAACTTTGACAATCATGCCATTTCCCTGTTCAAGGAGGTCAGAAATCTGAGTTGGCTGAACTACCAGATTCCACATCGGATAGCGACAACCGCCAAACAAGCTCAGCGTGTATATCCATACGCTTTGAGCCTTATGGAGAGTGTCGCAGGGTACTTTTCCGCAGTCCGAGCCATTCAAGAAATGCCCAATATTGCACCTCTGATGGCCGGGTATGAGAAGGAAGTGCAGAGTCTCTTTGCCACCGGTATCAAACTCCGTTGGGACTCTTTCATTCACTCTTATGAACTCCACATCAAAGGGAAAGCGACTACAAATGACTCGGCTCATGTGCAGTACGTCCGTGATTTGGCTACAGCGGTCACAACTCTGCAAAGCAAGACTGCGACTGTGCGAAGCCTCGACCAAAGCATCCAGGTTGCTCTTTCTGAGATGAAGAGCTGCCCTTATACAGCCAAGAATTTCCAGGCCCAAATGGACATCATCCAGAATGCTGTGGACAAGATGAATCTGGAGAACTATTCAAATCTCTCTAATTGGGTTTCGCAGCTGAACTCGCAGTTGCGCCACATCTTCGAGGAACGACTACGAGCTGCTCTCAGGTACTGGATTACTTCTTTCACCTCCACAGACGAACAATACCCAGTCTCAGAGGAGTCAATCCATCATGTTCAGTTCCCCCCTACACAAATCGAGATCATGATGAATAATCAGACAGTTTTCGTCGATCCTCCTCTCAACTTTGTCAAGGCTTCGTGGGTGCTCCAGCTAGAAGACTGGTTGGAAGTCTTGTGTCACTTGCCTCAGGTCAGAGCTTCTCGATACTCGGTGACTGCAGATATCGGTTCACCGCAAGTATCGCCTTCATTCACAGATCTACCGCTGCAGAATGTTGAGGTTCTGCAGGCTGCCTACAACGCCATCGACACCAGAATCGAAAATATGGCTTTTTACCTCGAGGAGTGGTACACCTACCAGAATCTGTGGGATCTCCGGAGCGATCAGTTACATGAAACTCTGGGTGATGATCTCGCTCAGTGGCACCAGCTCCTACAAGAAGTTCGACATGCACGTTCAACGTTTGACACCTCCGAGGGACGCAAGAGCTTCGGCAGTGTGGTCTTCGATTATGAGCAGGTCCAATCGAAGATTACACAGAAATATGATCAATGGCAATATGAGATAACCAGCAAATTTGGCGGCATTCTCGGCAATCGTATGGCTGAAGTGTACACTGATATGAAACGATCACGCCTCGAGCTCGAAAATCACTCCTTAGAGGCGTCATCCACTGCACAAGCCGTTGCATTCATCACCATTGTCCAACAGTGCAGACGAAATGCTATAATATGGGGTCCTGAAGTCGACATCTTCAGACAAGGCCAGACAACCCTTTCAAGACAGCGGTACAATTTTGCTAGTGACTGGCTTTCTGCAAACCAAGTGAGCGACGAATGGGATGCTTTCGAAGAGATATTGAATCGCAAAAGCAAGATTGTTGAAGATCAGACGGATGCGCTACGGGCCAACATCATCGCAGAAGACCGCGTTATCGGCAGCCGCATAGCTGATGTGGTTGCTCAGTGGACGGAGGAGAAGCCAGTTTCCGGAACAATTCCACCTGCAGAAGCTGCTGAGCTCTTGCGTGTCTACCAAACTCGCATGGAGAAGTTGCAAGCGGAAGCTGAAACTGTCTCGAGAGCGAAAGAAGCCCTTGCGCTGCCATCTTCTCGAGATGATTCTTTGACTGCCGCCTTGGAAGAAGTGAACGATTTCAAGTCTGTCTGGTCCGCCCTGTCTACGATATGGGAAAGCATCAACGAGCTCCGAGAGATGCTATGGACTAGCTTACAACCACGAAAGCTTCGTCAATCATTGGACGGATTAGTGAAGATGACGAAAGAGATGCCCAGTCGAATGCGGCAATATGCAGCTTTTGAGCATGTCCAGACGGTTCTCCGCCAGTTGATTAAAGCAAACCCGCTGCTGAATGACCTCAAGTCGGATGCCATTCGAGAAAGACATTGGCTAAAGATCCACAAAGCCTTGAAGCCTAACAAGAGATATTCTGAGGTGTCGATGACTCTCGGGGACGTCTGGGATCTTCAGTTAATCACCAGCGAAGCAACTATCCGGGACATCATCGTCCAGGCAAGAGGAGAGCTCGCCCTCGAAGAATTTGTTAGACAAGTAAGGGAGACTTGGCAAAGCTACCCGCTTGACCTGGTGAATTATCAGAATAAGTGCCGGCTCATTCGGGGCTGGGATGACCTGTTCTCCAAATGCAGTGAGAATTTGAATTCCCTTCAAGCTATGCGGCACTCCCCATACTACAAAGAGTTTGAGGAAGAAGCCTCATCATGGGAGGACAAGCTAAATCGCGTCCATGTTCTGTTCGATATCTGGATCGATGTTCAAAGACAATGGGTTTACTTAGAAGGCGTCTTCACCGGAAACAACGATATCAAACACCTTCTACCCACCGAGTCCAGCCGATTCTCCAACATCAACACAGAGTTTTCTGCCGTCATGAAGAAGGTCTATAAGTCTCCATTTGTCATGGATGTGCTTGCAATTCCCGGTGTACAGAAATCCTTAGAGCGGCTAGCAGAACTCCTGACCAAGATCCAGAAGGCCTTGGGCGAGTACCTCGAACGGGAGCGAGTATCATTCCCTCGATTCTACTTTGTTGGTGATGAAGACCTGCTTGAGATCATTGGCAACAGCAATGATAGCAGCCGCGTCGCGAAGCATTTCAAGAAGATGTTTGCTGGGATATCTGGCGCCGAAGTGACCGATGACAACACGATCGCGGCCATTACTTCAAAGGAAGGCGAGGTCGTCAGGCTGAAGAAGGAGGTTTCTCTCATCAAACTCCCGAAAATCAACGATTGGCTTACAGCTCTCGACACCAATGTTAAGCAGACCTTGGCCGAATTACTTGCCGAAGCGGCCACTGCCTTCAGGCCGTTGTTTACTGCGCCTGAACTAGATGTCAATCAATTCCAAGAGTACATGACGCGATTCCCGGCACAGATAATGATCCTCGCCGCCCAAGTTGTATGGACCGAACTTGTTCAAGGAGCACTTGAAGGTGGTGGCCAAGAATTACCAAAGCTTCACGAGTATGAAGTCCGTCTGCTCGACGTTCTGGCCGAGAGCGTGTTGCAAGACCTCCCGGCCTTGACTCGCAAGAAATGCGAGCATTTCATTACCGAGGCTGTTCATCAACGAGATGTCATTGCAAAGCTCATGAAAGCGGAAGCAAATACACCGGGACACTATCTCTGGCTTCTGCAAATGCGGTATGTTTATGACCCCAATGCAGATCTAATGAGCCGCCTCCGCATCCAAATGGCGAATGCAGACCTGGATTACGGCTACGAATACCTTGGAGTGCCAGACCGCCTGGTTCGGACACCACTAACTGATCGATGCTTTTTGACACTTACACAAGCACTTTGCCAGCGACTTGGGGGTTCACCATATGGTCCTGCGGGAACTGGGAAAACTGAGTCAGTCAAAGCCCTAGGACTTCAACTGGGGCGCTTCACTTTGGTGTTCTGCTGTGACGACACTTTCGACTTCCAAGCGATGGGCCGCATATTTCTAGGGCTTTGTCAAGTAGGAGCTTGGGGATGTTTTGACGAATTCAATCGTCTTGAAGAAAGAATCCTCTCGGCTGTGTCGCAACAGATCCAAAATATTCAGATTGGTCTCAAAAACACCACCAACGAACAGAAGGCACAAATCGACCTGGTGGGCCGTCGCTTCAGAGTCAACCCAAATTCTGGCTTGTTTATCACAATGAATCCCGGTTATGCTGGCCGTTCTAACCTGCCGGATAACCTGAAGAAGCTCTTTAGAAGTGTCGCAATGTCAAAGCCAGACAAGGAGTTAATCGCTGAGGTCATGCTTTTCTCGCAGGGCTTCAAGCAAGCCAAACATATCTCGCACCAGGTCGTGCCCTTTTTCGATCACTGTGCACAGCGACTTTCGAAGCAACCTCATTACGATTTCGGTCTGAGAGCACTGAAAAGTGTCCTCATTAGCTCCGGCGGTCTCAAGAGAGTGCGTATGCAAACTCCAGAGGGGCTTCCAGGAGACGAGAGCATCATTGAACCGCAAATCATTGTGCAGAGCATTCGAGAAACAGTGTCTCCAAAATTGATCAAGCAAGACGTCGAAACCCTCATTGAAGTCCAGGCAGAAGATTTCCCCGGCGTGGAATATGTCCCTGCAAGCATGACCAAGCTGATGGAGGCAATCAAGCAAGTGATGCAAGAACAGCACCTCACAGAAAGCGAGGCTTGGATGACGAAGATTCTCCAGTTGTATCAAATTCAAAACATCCACCACGGTGTGATGATGGTTGGACAATCTGCCTCTGGTAAATCTGCCATCTGGAGAGTTCTGCTCCAAGCCTTGCAGAAAGTGGAGGGCATTGAAGGTGTGTATCATGTAATTGATCCGAAGGTCATGTCAAAGGAAGCACTCTATGGCAGTCTCGACAGCACAACGCGGGAGTGGACCGACGGCTTGTTCACCGCCATCCTGCGCAAGGTCGTTGACAACCTTCGTGGTGAAGACAGCAAGCGGCATTGGATCGTCTTTGACGGAGACGTCGATCCCGAATGGGTAGAAAACCTGAACAGCGTTCTTGACGACAACAAATTACTCACCCTGCCGAACGGTGAAAGACTGAACTTGCCACCAAATGTTCGAATCATGTTCGAAGTCGAGAGTCTCAAGTATGCCACGCTTGCCACGGTCAGCCGTTGTGGCATGGTGTGGTTCTCCGACGACACAGTTAGCCCGTCCCTCATGATGGACCACTTTCTTCAGAAGCTCGCGGACCGAACGTTTGAGGACCTGGATGATGAGATTAAAGCTGCTGGCCTCAGTACGAAAGCTCAAGAGACACAGCGCGACGTGGTCGAGACCTTGAAAGGGTTGATGCAGCGCGATGATTTTCTTCTGAAAGCACTGTCATCAGCGGCAGGCCACAAGCATATCATGGAGTTTACTACAGCCAGGGCGCTCGGCAGTCTGTTCAGTCTGCTGGCTAAAGGATGCCGCACCATCCTGGAGTACAACATGAATCATCCTGAGTTTCCCCTGGATTCGGAGCAGACAGAGGCTTTCATCTCGAAGAAGCTTCTATTGGCAATTGTCTGGAGTTTCGTGGGCGATGCGTCTCTCAGCATCCGTAAGAACTTTGGAGACTTCCTGTCCTCGATGACGAACGTCGACCTACCCACCCTCGACAGCTCTACTTCGCTCATCGATTACGATGTGACCCTGCCCCATGCTCAATGGGTGCCATGGCAGGCTCAAGTACCGACGGTTGACTTGAACACGCATTCAATCACCCAGACTGATGTTATCATCCCTACGATCGATACTGTCCGCCATGAGGACGTCTTGTATTCGTGGTTATCGGAACACAAACCTTTGATGCTGTGTGGTCCACCTGGTTCTGGTAAAACAATGACCCTCTTCAGTGCCCTCCGCAAACTACCCGATATGGAGGTTGTTGGTCTCAACTTCTCAAGTGCAACACAGCCAGAGCTTGTCATCAAAACATTTGAGCAATACTGCGAGTACAAAAAGACCCTCAATGGGATGGTACTGTCCCCCACCCAACTGGGGCGGTGGCTGGTCATTTTCTGCGACGAGATCAATCTTCCCGCCCCTGATAAATACGGAACCCAGCGCGCTATCAGTTTCCTGCGACAGCTCGTGGAACAAAATGGGTTTTGGCGCCCTACTGACAGAGTCTGGGTCACCTTGGAACGTATTCAATTCGTCGGCGCCTGCAATCCACCAGAAGATGTGGGGCGTCATCCCATGGGTGACAGATTCCTGCGACACGCGCCCGTGGTCATGGTTGACTATCCCGGCGAGGTCTCCCTGGCCCAGATTTACGGCACCTTCAATAATGCGGTTCTCAAGGTGGTGCCCTCATTGCGAGGATTTGCGGAGGCGCTAACACACGCCATGGTTGAGTTCTACCTGAAGTCTCAAGCTAGATTTACGCCGGACATCCAGCCTCACTATGTTTACTCGCCTCGAGAACTGACCCGATGGGTCCGCGGCATATATGAGGCTATAGCCCCTCTTGAACACCTCTCCCTGGAGGGACTGATTCGAATCTGGGCGCACGAAGCATTGCGGTTGTTCCAAGATCGACTCGTTGAACAAGAGGAGCGGGCATGGACTTCTGATATGATACGACAGACCGCCCTGGAACACTTTCCAACTGCCGATATTGACCAAGCTCTACAGGGGCCAATCCTGTTCTCTAATTGGCTTTCGAAGAACTATGTCTCTGTTGAGCAAGAACAATTACGTGAGTTTGTCAAGGCACGCCTCAAGACATTTTGCGAGGAAGAGGTCGATGTCCCTCTAGTGCTGTTCAATGATGTCCTCGAGCATGCTCTGCGCATCGACCGTGTCTTCCGACAACCACAGGGCCATCTCATCCTAATAGGCACCAGCGGTAGTGGCAAGACCACCTTGTCCAGGTTTGTAGCCTGGATGAATGGTTTGACCATCTTCCAGATCAAGGTTCATGGGCGATATTCAGCAGAAGACTTCGATGACGATTTGCGGGGTGTTCTCCGCGCGTGTGGCTGCAGAGGCCAAAAGATTTGCTTCATCATGGACGAATCAAATGTCCTGGACTCTGGTTTCCTAGAGCGGATGAATACTTTGCTTGCCAACGGAGAAGTACCTGGTCTTTTTGAGGGAGATGAGTATTCTGCTCTTATGACAGCCTGCAAGGAAGGCGCTCAACGACAAGGTCTTCTCCTGGATTCGCAAGAAGAGCTCTACAAGTGGTTCACCCAGCAGATTGTGCGCAATCTACACGTCGTGTTCACAATGAACCCCCCACAGGATGGTCTCTCCTCCAAGGCAGCTACTAGCCCTGCCTTGTTCAACAGATGTGTTCTCAACTGGATGGGCGATTGGTCAGATCAAGCTCTCTTCCAAGTCGGCTACGAACTGACACACTCGATCGACCTTGACAAGCCAAATTTCTCCGCCCCTGACAGCATTCCTGTCGCATATCGTGGTCTCTCGCTCCCTGCCTCGCACCGCGACACTATTATCAATGCAATGGTGCACATACACTACTCAGTACAGAAGACCAACGAACGGTTGGAGCGTCAGCAGGGCATCGTTACTTATCTTACACCTCGGCATTATCTGGATTTCGTTACGCAATTTCGCAAACTCTTCAGGGAAAAACGTGAAGATCTGGAAGAACAACAACGACATCTCAATGTCGGTCTCGATAAGCTTCGAGACACAGTCGATAAAGTACGCGACTTGAGAGCTAGCCTGGACCAGAAGAAGCGTCAGCTGGAGCTAAAGGATGCCGAGGCGAATGAAAAGCTCCAACGAATGGTTGCAGATCAGCGAACCGCGGAGTCTCAGAAAACCACCTCCATTGAGATACAAACAGAGCTGGAGAAACAAGAAAAAGAAATCGCGAGCCGGAAGGAGATTGTGCTAGAAGACCTAGCCAAGGCGGAACCCGCGGTCATTGAAGCGCAGCGAAGCGTCAGCAACATCAAGAGACAACATCTCACCGAGGTGAGATCGATGGCCAATCCTCCATCTGGTGTCAAGCTTGCTTTGGAATCGGTTTGCACCTTACTTGGTCACAAAGTCGATAATTGGAAAGCCATTCAAACTGTTGTTCGACGAGACGATTTCATTGCAAATATCGTCAACTACGACAATGAAAAAGACATGACACCAAGCTTACGGCAGAAGATGCGGCACGACTTCCTGTCCAACGATGACTTTACATTCGAGAAGGTTAACCGTGCAAGCAAAGCATGTGGACCTCTGGTACAATGGGTGGAAGCCCAGGTCAATTACTCTGAGATTCTAGACCGCGTGGGACCTTTGCGAGCGGAAGTAGAGCAACTTGAGGACAAAGCTCTCCAAACCAAGGCAGAGGCCAAAGCCATTGAGAACAGGATCCTCAAGCTGGAGGAGAGCATTGCAACCTACAAGACAGAATATGCTGCCCTGATCAGTGAAACCCAAGCAATCAAGAGCGAAATGGCACGAGTTCAGACGAAGGTAGACCGCAGTCTACGTCTGCTCGACAGTCTGTCTTCCGAGCGTGTCAGATGGGAGGCAGCCAGTAAGTCTTTTGAGACGCAAATCCAGACCCTGGTTGGGGACGTGGTCATTGCATCGGCATTCCTGGCGTATGGAGGTCTCTATGACCAACAGTTCAGAAAGACCATGGTCGATGATTGGATGCATCACATGTCGCAGTCTGGCATTTCTTGCAAGACTGATGGCTCAGTTCTTGGATACTTGTCGTCTGCTGACGAACGACTGCAATGGCAGCGCCACTCTTTGCCAGCTGATGACTTGTGCATGGAGAATGCCATCATGCTCAAGCGCTTCAACCGGTATCCATTGATCATCGACCCACCCGGCAGGGTGACGGAATTCTTGAAACAAGAGCATCAAGGGCGGAAGCTGACAGTGACAAGCTTCTTGGATGACGCCTTCACCAAGCAACTTGAAAGTGCTTTGCGTTTTGGCAATCCGATCCTGATTCAAGACGCCGAATATCTGGATCCTATCTTAACCCATGTCTTGAACAAGGAATACCAGAAGACTGGTGGACGAGTGCTTATCCAACTTGGCAAACAAGAGATCGACTTTTCAGAGCACTTCCAATTATACCTATCCACTCGGGACCCTTCAGCGGCCTTTGCCCCTGATGTTTGCAGCAGAACTACCTTCATCAACTTCACCGTTACCCGCAGCAGCTTGCGAACACAGTCTTTGAACGAGGTTCTCAAAGCTGAGCGTCCAGATGTCGACAAGCGAAGAACAAACTTGGTCAAGATGCAAGGAGAGTTTGACACAAACCTGCGGCAACTGGAAAAGAGACTTTTGCAAGCTCTCAACGAATCTCGGGGCAATATTCTTGATGATGACAATGTCATTCAAACTCTCGAAACGCTCAAAAAGGAGGCCGCGGTCATCACAAAGAAGGTGGCAGAAACGGAGGGAGTCATGGCAGAAGTCGAGCGTATTACACAAGGCTACAGCCACATTGCCAACGCCTGCAGTGCCATTTTTGCCTTGTTGGAGCAGCTTCACCACCTCAATCATGGGTATCGGTTCTCGCTGCCATACTTCATCGACATATTCAACTCAGTCCTCCATAACAACCCACATCTTGCCAACAAGACAAATCATGAAGAACGTGGCGAGATCATCCTGAAGGACATATTTGTTGAGACTTATCGACGAACGGCCCTATCTCTGTTGCAAAAGGACCGCATCACACTGGCAATGCTGTTAGTCCGCGCCTCCCCATACAGCTTTGATCGATCTGCCATGGAATTGATATTAGAAGACCGACCGCACTCCCGGGGCACTGTACCCACTGACACTCGTGCTGAGGACGTGTTGGCAGCTGTCAAGCGAATTCCCGTTTTCAACAGCGACAAGATCGACCCCTCAAGCAAGAGTTGGTTGCAGTTTCTCTCGGCAGAGCGTGCAGAGCACTGTGTTCCCACCATTTGGAACGATACCGACAGCGTGATTGATCAAAACCTCTACAAATTGCTCCTTGTGAAGCTGGTCCGACCGGACAGGTTTTTGCCCGCAGCTCAAACACTGGTCGCAGGTGTTTTTGGACCCGAAATCTTCCAGGGTACCGATGACCTAGCAACAATTGTCAACCAAGTCAATTCCTCGATCCCAATTGCACTCTGCTCCAACCCCGGGTTTGATGCAAGCTACAAAGTCGATGCCCTTGTGGAGAAGCAGAATGCAAACTGCGCCAATGTTGCGATGGGCTCTGATGAAAGCGTTGCAAGTGCTGACAAGGCCATCACCAGTGCCGCCGCAAATGGTACATGGGTTTTGATCAAGAATGTCCATCTCGCGCCTCAATGGCTACAGACTCTAGAGAAGCGCCTCTCGGCACTCAAACCGCATAATGACTTCAGATTGTTCCTCTCCATGGAGTCAAGCCCCAAAATACCCGTTAACCTGCTCCAAGCCTCCAGAACGCTCGTCTATGAGCAACCAGCGGGCATGAGAGCAAATATGAAAGACACACTGACTGTGGTATCCGACCGAGGCACCCGAACACCTGTCGAGAAGGGCCGGCTTTACCTTCTTCTCTGCTTCCTTCATGCCGTACTTCAAGAGCGACTAAGATATGCCCCAACTCTCGGTTGGAAAGGACTTTGGGAATTCAACGATAGTGATTACGAGTGCTGCGCTTTTATCATCGACGTCTGGATTGATGCAATCGCGCAAGGAAGATCGAATATCGCACCTGTCAAATTACCTTGGGATCTACTTCGAAACTTGATTACCGAGATGTACGGTGGAAAGATCGATGATGAAGGCGACTTCTCATTGCTCCGTGAGATTGTCAGCAAAGTTTTCGACCCTGCAGCATATGAAAGTGACCATGAACTGGTTTCCGCTCCCGACGAGGGCCAGGCACTCAAAGTTCCCTCTGGAACGACTATCCGCGACTTCATGGGCTGGGTGGAGCAATTACCTGAGCGAGAGCCCCCAGCGTATCTAGGGCTACCTGCAAACGCGGAGAAACTATTACTGATGGGCCAAGGAAGAGAAACAATTGGCAACCTTGCCAGGATTACGGATTTACTTGAGGAAGGAGAGCAGACCTTGTCGTAGGAGCATGGCAGCCTTTGAGTCGGCAATTTGGAAAACTGATGGGCTGAGGTTTGATTTTCATGAAACAGAAGGTTGTTTCAATCATGACCATAGAGTGTCGCTGTCCACATGGACGATTTTCTCCTTTGTTCGAAACGAAACTGGTGTTCGCTTCGTTCATTGCAGCCGCTATTATTGAGCGCATGGCGAGAGGCGTTTGGAGGTTATGGTTTCGGGTATACCCTGTGTCGTTCCGCCGCGCTGCGGTTTCTTGTTGTAGATAGATTCCATGAAGACACTTACTTATTACATATTTTTCCCCTCCCTCGTGCTAGGCGTTTGATGAATAGAAGGTTGAGATTAGTATAGTCGAAAAAGGCACAACTTCCACGAGGCTGAATATCACGTGGCTATCTATCCCCGGAAAACCTTCCCAGGCTGAACTGCGGACACTTCACTCAATGTTAACGCTGCGGGGAGATGAAGATCGAATACACCAGGTGGCCACATCTGGTCAGGTATATACGTTTCTGCTGGAGACCAGTGCAGAAGCCTTGAGCTGAGATTCTTGCATCAATCCGGCAGCAAAAACTCGAGAGGAACGCCGAGAACGCAGACGTGAGACAGAACCAGGATGAACTCCTCACGCCCATAACTCCGACATCTGGAACTCGTCCAACAACGAGCCCGCCATGGCTGCAGTCGATGATACTCGGCGCAGCATGATGTACACCGACCCAGTGTCGCGATACCTCAGCCTCTTCCTTCACAATCACAGACCATGACACCAATTGCGCTTGATATGGCCTCTGATCGAACACCGGCGATTTCAATCGACCCAATTGCACTCATTACGCAGGAATGCATAACGATCACGTCTGCCATGCGGAAGCATGCCCGCTGGGCGCAGTCTTCGGTGTCAGCCATTCTGGGGGGAGGGGCCACAAGATTGCAAGAGAAGGACTTTCTACGCTCGTCCTCGCAAAGTCGCCGGAGCAGCAAAGGGCCTGTGATACTAGATCCTGGCATGGCCAGGCTGAACGTGCCCAACACGTCGGACGATGAAAACTCCAGCTTGGCCAGTCGATGGGGTCTGCGCGGCCGGAAGGGCAAGAGTCTGCAGGATAACCCCTTGCTGACCGCGTTTGCACGTCTGAGAAGAGATCTGGCTGGCTGTCGAGATGTGACAGCCGTGGATGCTCCCGAATTACTGCACCCTTTTCTACAGGTCATACGCAGTTCTTCGACGAGCGCCGCGATTACTAGTCTGGCGGTGATTTCGATCACAAAGTTCTTCGCATACAACATTATCACGGTCAGATCACCACGAATCTCGCAGGGGATGCACCTTCTCAGTGCGGCAATCACCCACTGCCGATTCGAAGCGAGTGACACTGCGGCAGATGAGGTCGTCCTGCTGCGTATCCTGAGGCTCATGGAGTTGATCATATCCAGACCGGAAGGCCAGCTGCTCGGTGACGAGAGTATCTGCGAGATGATGAGTACCGGCTTAAGCATGTGCTGTCAGTCAAGGCTTTCGGAGGTCCTCAGGAGGTCTGCCGAGATGGCCATGGTCACCATGTGTCAAGTGGTGTTTAGCAGATTGAAGTCGTTAAAGGTGGAAGAGATACCAAAGTCAAGGAGTCGGTCGAATACAAGAACAACTCTGCTTAGTGCTACCGAAGAACTAAAGATTGAACCCCCCATGACAGGAAGCGTCATGGGAAATGGCGAGCCAGAACGACCAAGCGTTGACGTTAACGGACGAACCAGTGTGGAAGGCGGCACTGGATCCAAGGTTTCCACGGAACCGCAGAATACGGCCGCGCCAGCAAAGGAAGATGAGTTTGACAACGTGGAGCCATACGCCCTACCATCAATCAAAGAGCTCTTTCGCGTCCTCATTGATCTCCTTGATCCTCACGACAAAACACACACAGATGCAATGCGAATCATGGCTCTCAGAATCATTGACGTCGCCCTTGAGGTTTCGGGGCCTTCAATAGCGAAACAGCCTGTTTTGGCCGCACTGGTCCAGGATGATCTTTGCCGTCATTTATTCCAACTCGTTCGATCGGATAATATGGTCCTTCTGAACAGCTCTTTACGTGTCGCCGGGACATTACTGGCCACATGTCGACGGCTGCTTAAGCTGCAGCAAGAGCTGTTCCTTTCATACTTGGTGGCTTGTCTGCATCCCCGTGTAGATATCCCCCAGGAACCGGGAATTGATCCGTCGTTGTATGAGGGGGTACCTCAATCTCCCAAACTGGTGAAACCAGCACCGTCGCAGCCGAGCAGCGGTCGGTCAACCCCGGTGCCAATCAAGGACAGGCAGAAGCTGGGACTAGAAGGCGGTACTCGAAGGCCGGAGGCCAGAGAAGCGATGGTCGAAAGCATTGGCACCTTGGTCCGCATCCCTGGATTCATGGTGGAACTTTTTCTCAACTATGACTGCGAAGTCGACCGGCAGGACCTCTGCGAAGATATGGTGGGACTTTTGTCGCGGAATGCCTTCCCGGATTCTGCCACTTGGAGCACAACCAATGTGCCTCCACTATGTCTGGATTCGTTGCTGAGCTTCATCCAATTCATGGCCGAGAGGCTTGTCCACGACACGCCAGCATGGGCACGGGAGCGGATAGACAAGCTGCGTCTGCAACGAGCGAGGAAAAAGATCATCAAAAGTGGTGCATCCAAGTTCAACGACGATCCCAAAGCAGGAGTGGCATATCTGGTGAGGAACGGCATCATAGAGAATCCAGATGATCCCGTCCAGGTGGCTCAGTTTCTGAAAGGCACCTCTCACGTCTCTAAAAAAGTGCTGGGAGAGTTTATAACCAAGAAATCCAATGAACCGCTGCTGGTAGCATTCATCGGACTGTTTGATTTTGAGGACAAACGCATTGATGAGGCTCTTCGGGAAGTATTGGGATCTTTCCGCCTTCCTGGGGAAGCGGCACTGATTGAACGAATCGTCAACAATTTTACCGAAAAGTACTGCAGAACCGTCTCACCCGAGGAGATCGCAGACAAGGATGCCGCCTTCGTCCTGGCCTATGCGATTATCATGCTGAACACCGATCTTTACAATCCCAACGTTGCGAAGACACAGAAGCGGATGTCGTATGAGGATTTTGCGAGAAACCTGCGTGGTGTCAACGCAGGAAAGGACTTTTCGCCGGAACTGCTGCAGGACATCTACGAAGCCATCAAGGAGAACGAGATCATTCTTCCCGACGAGCACGAGAACAAACATGCCTTTGAATATGCCTGGAAGGAGCTCTTACTGAAGACACACAACGCCGGATCTCTGGAGCTCTGCGATACCAATGCCTTCGACGCAGAAATGTTCAAGGCAACTTGGAAACCGATCGTGGCAACTCTGTGCTATGTCTTCATGTCAGCCTCTGATGATGCCGTTTTCTCTCGAGTCGTGGTTGGTTTCGATCAATGCGCCCAGATCGCGGCCAAATACGGAGTCACTGAGGCCTTTGACCGCATTGTCTACAGCGTCAGTCACATCAGCGGATTAGCGGCAGAAATTCCTCCGAGCACTTCGTTGAATACGGAAGTTCAGGTTGGAAAGAAGAGAATCATGGTCAGTGAAATGGCCGTCAGGCTTGGAAGAGACTTTCGAGCCCAGTTAGCGACCGTATTGCTTTTCAGGATACTACAGGGTCATGAAGAAGCGGTGGGCGACACTTGGATTTACGTCGTGCGTATTCTAAGAAACTTGTTTGTCAACTCGCTCATCACGTTGCCCAAGTTTGAGCAAGATGGGTTTGAAGACCTTGGTCCGATTCCTCTGCAACCACCGTCACAAGTCATCGACCGAGATGGCCGACTGAGCGATAGCGGCATCTTCTCGACGTTTACGTCGTACCTCTCAAGCTATGCCGCTGACGACCCACCGGAGCCTTCGGAGGAAGAGCTCGAGAATACCCTTTCATGTGTTGACTGTGTGAAGGCCTGCCGGCCAGACACTGTCCTGCAGCATATGGCATCACTTCCTGCTTCGCAAATCAAATCCATCGTGTCGGCTCTGCTGTCGCAGATGGAAGAAATGTCACCAGTCGTGACCGTCAAACCTGAACGGCCTATGCCTGTCACCGTCAGGGTCAATGGCCACCGCATTCCCAAAGCCGGGCCCGAGTACGATCCTGGCTCGGTGTTTCTCCTCGAGCTTGCCACGCTGCTTACCCTGAGAGACGACAAAACCATCGCTGCAGCCGGAGAGCAACTCACAGGCGCCCTACAGAATGCGGTCAGAGATGCCTCGAATCTGCATCCTCTGGCTGCGTCGAGGGTTGTGCTTTACCTTCTTGAGTTATTGCGGTATAGCTACGTAAGTCTGACAGAGAAGTTCATGTGAAAACATCCTACTAACAAAAGGTTCTCATAGACCTACGACTTTATGCGTGCTCCTGTCGTTCTCCACGCCATATCAAGCTTCGATGACACTGTGCTTGACCGAACAGCGTCTACCATAATCCAGGGCTTCGCCAACGCCATTGGTACTTCGTCGGCCTTGCGCAACGAGATTACAAAATCTCCGGACTTTTGGTCGACGTTGCAGCGCCTCCATCAACACAAAACAGAGGCAGAGCGCGTATTTGACATCCTAGCACGCCTTTCCACCCCTTCCCCAACAAAGTCACAAGATCAGCAAGCTTTGACGGCAGATAACTTCGAATCCGCCATCTCCCTCGCAAACGACATTGCATCCGCTGGCTCAATCGGATCCATTCAAGAAAAACGCCGTGACTTTGCCGCGAAACATGGCCGGCAAGCCAAGCCTGCGAAACCCGAAGACATTGTGGTTGTTCAGCGGGCCACCAAGGCCGTGGGGCTGATCTATCAGTTGTCCGATCGTGTCCCGGGTCTCATTGATCAAAGCCATCTGGAGAGGAATGAAGCTTGGGCTGCATATTGGAGTCCGATCTTCCGAGCCCTATGTGCGCAGTGTGTCAACCCCTGTCGTGAAGTCAGACATCGTGCGTTGTCAGCCCTGCAACGCACGTTGCTCTCCGAGACTGTAGCAGACGAAAAAGGTACGGAGCAGGACCAACACACAGAATGGACGGCAATTTTCGACGAGGTATTGTTCCCACTTACGCTTAGGTTGCTGAAGCCCGAGATATATCAGTTGGACCCGCCTGGGATGAATGAGACCCGAGCACATATGGGTGGCTTATTGTGCAAGGTTTTCCTGAGATATCTCGACAGGCTCAACGATATCCCACTTGTTCCTCAGAGCGAAGAGGGGGAGAGCGACGATGAAAAGGAACCTGAAGGAGATGTCGACGAAGGACAGCAGAAGGCGAGCACGGCAAAGGGCCAGGGCAATGGGAACAAAATGACCGATGTCTGGATCAAAATTCTTGAGCTTCTCGACCGCCTCATGAATGCCGGCACCGTGGTTGAGCACCAAGGTGACGCGCTCGCGGAGGCGGTTCGCGAAGGTGTGAAGAACACGCTTCTCGTCATGGATGGGGCGGGCTATCTCGGTCGCCAGGAACAGGCTGCGCTGGCCAGCCAAACTCCTCGCAGCCCACGCTCTCTGGATGAGAAGGGCGAGATCCAAATCTGGCCCGAGACGGTGAGGCGCCTGGATAGATTCCTCCCGGGCCTGGTGCAGGAACTGTTTCCCCCCGAGCACGATCCGGAAGACGGTGCCCACGCCGCTGCTACTGCTGACTCCGGCGGCGGTGGTGGTGGTGGCGACGAAAATCGCAAACCCGCCCTGACGGTACAACCGGGCAACACCGCCGGGTCACGGCCGCAGACGCGAGACGGCCAAAAGGAGACCAAAAAAGTAGCGAGGGAGGGAGAGAAGTGAATCAGGCTCTACGGGTTCGTCACGAGTTCACGTCGATGGATCTCTGAGATAGAAGGAGAAGAAAGGGGCTGTTTTGGGGCGAAAGATATTATCTTAACTTTCTAGCTAAAAATAGGTAAATCAATTTACCTACCTACCTACCTACCTACCTACCTGAACTCTTCTAGCAGGAATCGATCTGTAGGGTAGGGAAATAAGGGGCAGAGGAGAGGAGGACATGAACACGCGGGGGTTTATTTCATTGATTTTCATTCAACCCTTTATCTTCTCTTCTTTCCCTCAGCAGTTGTTGGAAACAGACTTATTGCGAACAGCCTCACTCTGCAGATGCAGGTTCCGTGCGTCCAGCAAACTAGTTATCCTTGCCTCGGCGAGAGTCTTCAGCTTATTTGCTTGCTTGTTTGACCTTTTGGTCCCGTTCCCCTTTTCCCAATCCGCAATTCGGTGGAACTTGTCACGCTGTGATCCGTTGCCTCTGCCCTCGTTGCACAGCCATGTGTATGCCCCTATTCAATCTAACCATCACACTCTGTAGTGTTGGTCCGCTTCCTCGCACAGTCGCAATTCCACCGCCTCCGGAATTCGTCCCCTGTCAATGTGCCCAGCTCCTTCAGAGCCCTCTGGCTCGCTCGGACTCTGACGTATTTCGCTCCTCGTCCTTTGGCCACGGCCACCACGTTCCTATGCACGATCCAAGCTGCGTGCATCACCACCCCAGACACAGCTTCCTCGCCATTTGGTCCTCTCAATGTGTCATCTGGGTCGTCGCCTTGTTTCTTGTCTCTCAACAAGGCGTCTGTGGTGGGTTCCACCGGACTTTCCTGCACAACGAGCGAACTCTTTCGACACTGGAATTTTTGGTCAACCAGACAACGGACGTACGTGGTTGGATGTCGATTTGCAAAGGTATCGTAGGCCTCGATATCCTCAAAGAACCATTTTACATGCTTCTCAAAGAAATTCTCAATCTCGCGATAGTCGAATCCCGAGTCGACGAGCACAGCGCCCAGATAACTCTCGACGAGGTCAGCCAGGACTTTTGGTACATGGCCTCCAAATGCCACTCGGGTCCAGAAATCGCGGTTCACATCCTCCTCTTCCCAGGCATTCTGGACTTTGGATGCATAGCGGGCTATAACATCGTGAACACCGATGCTAGAAGCGTAGACCAGTTTGTGGAATCCCAGAACAACCGCCAATGCGGCGAGGAATTTGTTCGACACCATGGCCATTTTGTGCTCGGTCAACCATTGAGGACCACGAGTCGTGTTTGTGGAAAATAACCACCACACGCATACCCAATCCAAGCAAGCGTCACCCAGAAATTCAAGGCGTTGAAGGTCTTGAACTGGTGAGAGCTGGTCCGAGGAGTGAGTAAATGCCGACCGAGCGAGACGTGGCTGTTTGAAACGATAGCCGGTAGCTTCAAAGACTCTGTCCGCAATGTCATTTGCAATTGGGTCGTTCAACTCTGCTACCCACTGCGCCGGCTTGTACATTGGTAGGATCTCTTTCCACGAGGCGATGGCGTGGTCGGGATGTTCCACGAGTCTAGTGATGGCCTTGATCCCGAGGTCGAACTTTTCCTCAGCAGGCAAGTGACGACTTGTCATGATGCATGCGCCGATAGTGGCTTCGCAGACATCAGCTATGGTCTTTTTTCCCAGCGCATGCTTGCGGTGCCTGTCATTCAGTTTGATGATTCGACCTTTCTCGAGCTCCAAGAATTCAGGGTACCAAGTGTCACGCCAACGCTCGTCTGCAGAGCGGATGTAGCGAAAAAGTTCGTAGTGAGGAGAAGATGCAGTGTCATAAAGCCGTTGGTTGGAGAGCAAGTCCATACGTTTACAATGCATTCCTTCTTCGTCACATGTGGTGCGGTTGAAGACTGTGATCGTGGTCATCATCTTGAGGAAGGCGTCACCGATGAATTCCAGTCGTTCATAGTTCATAGCCGCTCCCAATTCCTTCCCGTCGAGCTGTGCTCCAACTTCAGCCTCGTTCAGAGTTGGTAACCCGGTTTCATTCCTGTCACTCAGGGAACCATCCTCCTGAGTGAAAGCTTCCAATGCAAGTTCGAGAGGCACCTGGCCAAGGTCAAGCTTCGCAAGAGCCTCCTGGGCGATCAAATATCCCTCCAATCGATGCAGGATCGAGGGCCACAGGAGACAAGCTTGGGCCACCGAGAACGAGATTCGACCCAATTCGAGCGGTTGAGGAGCGACATGGCATATGGCTTGCCGCGTTACACCTTTCCGGCATTTCTCCAAGAAATTGCGACCTGCTATGGCAACCTTGGCGACCAACACGGGTTGATTTGGATCGTACGTCCTGCCGGTTGATTGGCCATCTTTTCTCTTTACTTTCCATGTGCTGTCGGAGAATTCGATGATGCTGCTCTTTAATCTCTTCTGGACCGACTTTGCACTTTCTGGAATGGGATCCCAAATAGATTTTCCTGGCAAGATGTTCCCTGTGAAATAGCGGTATCGTCCGCTTCTTGGGTCAACGAGAAATGCATTGCACCATCTCTTGGTCTGCTTCTCTGCCTCTGCCGCGCTGATGGTCTTTCCCCAGCGCTGACGGCCTTCGACTTGCCCCGCTAAAAGCCCGTCCATGTCAACAACAGACTCAAAAGTCTCCTTCAACTCTCCTTTCGCTGGAGGTGCTAGCCAGTAGCTCATTGAAGTCGATTTCTCAGCATAGACTTTGTTGAAAACGTCGTGAAACACACCGCGAAGAGTGAATTTCGTTAGTGCTTCGATCTGAGGCGGCGTCACTGCCACTGGGTCTCTGAGACGATTGAACTGGACCTGTTTCTCGATATCATCGTCTACAAAGACAGGAAATGTGGGAATGTCTGGAAGTGGAGTGCGTGTTAGCAGCAGCAAGCCATCGGTGCACCAGGAGGGTGATTTTGGCCCAACGGAGACATGGGTGACAAAAAGTGCGGTTGGCAGCGTCGGCGAGGTGGCACCACTCTCAATCCAGAAATCCGGTTTTACCTTCCTGTCGTATTCGTGCTTGTCGTGGGGGACGGCGGTTTTGGCATTGAAATTGGCTGGTTTCGCTTTGAAGAAGATGCTGTTGAGATATTCATCCACCAGTTGGGCTTTGCGCAACCTGAAAAGGCAATGCCAAGCAGCGGACCGCTTCGCGAGGGTTTTGTTTGTTCGCGCCTCACCCTTTGCGCCCTTGACGGCAGCGGTTCGCTCATCAGCCGTGGCAGGTAATATAACTTTATACCGAAACATGTTTTCTTCGACGTCGATCATCTCCTCGTAGACCTCTGAAGAGACCGCACCCACCTTTCTCAGGGACTCGGCATACCGACTGAGGAGTAGGAGCGAATTCGAGTAGTTGACAAGGACGCCAGCAGAGGTTTCGAAGCTGCGACAACTTGCATCGTTGGCCATCATCTGCTTCAGTTTCGAGCCCTGACCCAATAGGCGATCGGGTGGAAGCTGTTGACAGAACCTCCTTATATAATCATCTTGATCCAGGGCAAAATTGACCTCTGCTTCCTGAGACTGATTGCCCTTTTCGACCATGTGAACAAAAATAGAGCCCTTCATCCGTGCCCGGCCACGGCTCTGCATGTACTGAATTGGTGTTTTATACAAATCAAACCTGATCACCAAGTTGCATTGAGGTATGTCAATACCTTCTTCAGCAACACTGGTGGCAAAGATGACGTTGATGATTCCTGTGCGGAACTTCTCCATGACAGCCTCTTGGTCTTTCCACGAACCCCTCATATTCGACTCTGGTGTGACACCCATGAGGACGCCGGGTCGTAGGTTCGGGAGAGCAAGTGAATCGAACAGGCTGCAAAGCAGAATCGCCGTCATCCGTTCCTCAACAAATACGATTGACCGAGTCGTAGCTTCACGGGCGAACCGATCCTTGAGTTCGCCATAAAGCTTCCTCACTTTGGGAGATAGATCACAATCCGAATCGACCTGTGGAGCCTCGAAGCGATGGTTTCGTATGATCGAGACGGCCTCGCCGATTGATTTCAAAGCTGCCACACGGCTCTCGGTGTCAGGCATCACCCTATAAGTCTGGGTTCGTTCAAACTTGCGAAGCATGACGGTGGATTCGTGCTCAGAGGTCGGAAGAGCGTGTTGCCAGACTCTATCTGCAGCCCACGCGCCGAGTTTCCGGGAAGCCGTGTGTGCGAAACGGAAGGTCGACTGCAAGTCCTCAACCAAGCCGCATAAGGGCATGAGTTGTGAGTATAGAGGAGTTTCAAACTCAGCCCCTAGTGGGGGGTACATCCATATGACATCCTCGGCTCGAGGTGCAAAGTCAAAGACGGACAGGTTATTCGTGGTCACGATCTTGCTCTGCAACAATGACTGTAAGTCCTCAGCAACTTTATCGATGTCCCGCCTCGAGTCGACAGGAGATGCCGTCATGCCGAAGATACGAGGTCTGTCCCCTTTCCACTTGACATAGTAATCTCGAATGATTTTCGAGTACGGGTGGTTCTTCTTGCAATGGTGGGCTTCGTCGAAGATCAGAAGTGAGATCTGACCCATTTTCAGGTTGGACCTCATGAGGCACGACTCTAGCACCGAAGCTGTGCACACGACAACACTGTTTTCAGCAAAGATTTTGTCCCATTCAACCCTTTCCCACAGATTGTCCGAGGCCTCGCCGAACAGGGGGATGACGTTCTGTGACAGGTTGATGGAGAGAAACCGGGCCTGTTGTCGAGCAAGGTGGACGCTGTTGACAAGGAAGAAGACGATCTTTGCTGATTTGCCGCGACTTCGATCGATCAGTTCTTGTTGCAGGTAATGTCTGATCAGCAACGCCGCAATGAGGGTTTTGCCACTCCCAGTGTCGAGGACAGCGATTACGTTCTCTTCCTTTGCCCTTTCAAACAGTTCTTGTTGATATTCACGGGCTCGGTCGATAATCGCGTCAGACCGTTCGCTCTTCTCATGGTTGGAGGTCAGGGTCTCGTCGTCGTTGTTGGCGTGAGCGAGGAGATAGTTGTTGAGAGTTACCATGTTGTCCTCTTGCTCGGCATAGCCATCTAGATCGGTCGACTCAGGTTGGAATTCGTCCTCGGAGTCTGTGGGGTCGGCTGGCTGAGACTGAGCCAGATGATGTGTAGAGCTGTGGACCTCCACGACAGCGAGTTCATCGGTCTGCGCCATCCTGTCGAGCATGAAAGGAGGTTTGAGGATGCAAGAGTCAAGGAGGAAATATGGCCCGAATCGATCTCCCCATGATAGATGAGAAGATGAAAAGTGAATTTTTTCAGGAAGTGCAGGAAGAAAACACAGTGACAGAGAGTTGGGGATGAAGGGCAACGCGCAGGCAAGCAAACGAATTCACTACATGACTGGAAAATCGGGATAGGTTTGTCTACCCGATGCCATCCTACCTCAATACATCAAATCTATCGTTGTTGTAGCAGTCACGCTCCCCCTCTAACATGCACTATATGGAAGGAAGGAAGGAGGAGCGCGCCCATCTCATAGATAAAGTCCTCTGGCCCCTTAGTCACTGAGATGCCTCGTCTGTGCCAGGGATCATCCTAGTGCCTTTGAGCCGCACATTTCCGTCTGTTCCGCCTGTCTTTTCTTGCAATTTTCTGCGGGGGTGACCAAACCAACACCCTCCCGACGCACTCCACTCCACCTTAGCCAGGGGCCCCTCCTCAATTCCAACCACGCTCACTGAATTCAGACGAACTTCACAGCTGCAATGGGGGCTATCGTGGCCGCGTTCATTGCGGTTCTCGCTCTGGCCAGTGCTCATGGCTCTCATTCGCAAGAGGAGCTCGCCAATCCTGCGGAAGACTGGGCATTGTACCATATGCAAGAAGAACACCGTACGTGTTATCAATCGCTGGTCGAGTGGACATGGGTTTTTGACAGACACGTACAGATATCTCCAACTTTGATCCGGCCTCATTCTTTGCACTCCATGACTTCAACAACGATGGCGCGTGGACACCCGACGAAGTGCGCCGAACATATGGCCTGGACGACGAGTCTTTGATAGCCACGCCCGCCGACGCCAAAGACAGAGCCGTTCTCAACGTCTTCAAACTCTTTGACCCTCATAGCACCGGCCTTATTACCCGTGACCAGTGGCTCGAGGGCATACGATCCGGCAAGAAACTCCCAGACTCTGGACTAGGCCCAGGCCATCACGGCGACGACGAATACGAGTATGAGATCCACCACTTTGAGAAATACCATGACGAGAACACGAGAGAGGAGGATCTGATCCACCCCGAAGACATAGAGCATTTCAAAAAACACGACATGAGGGAGGATGAGGAATATCGGATACTGAGAGAACAACAACAGAGCATTGTGGAGAGGAACATCCCGCTCAAATTTAGGAGACAGCCCTGAACTTTTGCGCAGGCGTTCCTGGCTGGCTACGTGGCAGCTACGTGGCATGGAAATATCTGTAACAATACACACAAAATAGAACTGAGGTGGATGGGAAAAAAGAGGTTCAGCCATTGGGTTTGATCTCGACATCGAATACACAATGCATGACCCCGGGCGCATAGGTCTTGACTTGTTCAACGTGGACACCGGAAGTTGCGCAAGGCCGTCGGGCTTCTCGCTGTACCAGTCCATCAATTTCTCTCACAATTCTTTCCCCTATGATGTCGACTTCCCGCATATCGACGTTCTCATGGACATGCAGCCATCCACCTATTCCTCCTTCACTTAGCCCTGTGACGATCTCGACAGCGTCCTCCCAACTCGATCGCGCCGAAGGAAGGAGACCTAGATTGGCATGTCTGATGTTGAGCCGTGACGCTGTTTCCCCTCGGTTGTAGCCCATCCTTTCATACTCACATTGCATCTCCTGCAAGATCTTCCGTGCCCACTTGTTGTCTCCTAGGAAGGCTACACATCTGACAATTGTGTCAGTATCCCCTGCGCGATCACCCCTGGCAATCTCCTCGACAATTCCCTTGATGCCTCCCGGCTCTTGCAGACTCCCCGTCTCACCAACCTGGAGTACCAAGCACCGCCATCCGTTTCTCTCGCATCCCCTCCTCAACCCCTCGATGCTCCACGGATTCATGTCCCAGCCATAGGCCCGTCGCACGCCCTTTGACAGGTAGCAAGAGGCAAAGTATCCGATGCCGACGTAGAAATCGACCACATCGATGTGTCCGAGCTGCCCGTGCAGTTCAGCAGTGGTTAGGCCGGGAAACCGGGAGTGCAGGCCCAGAATTCGCGCCTTCTCGGAGATGTTGCCGCGGCTGAACATGGTGTACAGCGGTGCCCAGCACTGCACGATGCCGTGGTGCTGGGTCGCGCTCGTCCAGAAAGCGGCTTCAAAGTCCTCGGCCGAAGGATGGAGGATCCTGCCTCGGTGCTGTCGCTCGTCGAGCAGGGGACCCCAGTCACCGTAAACCGGGACCAGGCCTGAGGGATGGCGAAGGACATTCTGTTCCTTGGTGGTAGCGCCCTGCGTCGTGGCGGGACCGCGGAAGTTGGTGGCGTCTTCGACGTCCTCTTCATGCTCGACCTCGGCCGCGATGGGCGCATTGATTGCGATCCACGAGATCCCCATTCCCTTGAACCCTTTCTCGGTGATGCATCGAAACAGCTCCGCCTTGTCGTGCTCGTCAAGCGCGTCGTAGAATGCCGTCCACCGCGGATTCTGCGCCGTGAAGTTTGGCGGGAGGAGCAGGAGCGGCGGGTAGAGTGTATACCGCTTCGGCATGTCCGCGATAGCTAATGCTGCGAGCGGCGGGTCATCTCCTTCACCATGGCGAGGAGCTGGAACGAAAGTCGCGTTGTCGTCTGTGGCAGTCGCAGGATCAATGCGACGACGACGACGTTGCCATTCTGTGTAGAACGCTGAAATACCCCGGACCAGTGGATTGTTCGGGGTCTTGCTGTCTTTCCTCTGCTTGGGTTTACCCACTTGTTGCGACTGATGATGTTGGTGCTGGTGCTGTGGTTGAGGGCTTGTCATTTCTGCCATCGGCAAACCCTTTCGAAAGGGCTAGTTATTGTCTTTCCCACGGTGAGGTCGTGGTGCCAATCAATGGCCCAATCTCACGCCCCGAGCCGGAGGCTGAGATCCCAATCGAGTTAATTTTCTGTACACAATACGTGTAGCCTCATAGGTTCATGGAATCGAAAATCATTACGGCAAGCCTGTACAGAGCGAGGATCCAGGAAAGTTTGCAGGAGATCGACGAGAGGAAGTTGTCCGTTCATTACGATGTTTGAGAAAGATCGTAGCAAATCCATTTCATGTTGCGAGGCCGGGCGTCTGATTGGATGACTGACCAGCCCAGACAGCCATCTATGTACGAGGTAATTACTCGGGCGAGATGCCAACGAACAAGTACAACCATAAGTACCTACAGGTAATTTCAACGAAGCTCGACACATGTACATGTTTCTATCTCTAAGAGCCATATCTTTCCACAACCTAGCTTACTGGTACAGGCGCCCAAGTCATAGCATGATATGCCTCCAGCAACCCCAGTGCCATCACCATCAACACCACGCACACCAGTACAGCTTCTTCTACGATGTACTCTTTCCCAGACGGACGCCAGAACCCAGAACTCAGAACCCAGAATCTTCCCTGTGAAATCCGAGACGCCGTATTTCCAGCTCAGTAGGTCCCCGACGGACTCGTATCCTCCCCCTTCCCAGAACCACTTGGGATATCCGTGTAATGCCATTCCCACTTCTCGACCGAGTGGATGGATGATTCTCAACTTCTCCGTGGAACAAATGACCAAGATAAGAAAGAGGCACTCAACGTTGTGAAGCTTTGTAAAGATGGTCGATTTGACTGATGATAGGTTGACTCTCAACTCGTTCTGTTCTCTTGGCTTGCACATCAGGTTGAATATAGATGCCAAACTGATAACCCGCGGTACCCCGGTTGTGGGCTGTAGGCTGTAGGCTGCAGGCTGCAAAAAGGATTTTGTGTAACGACACTTTGCTAAAATCAAGTTGGTATCTGTGATGTTATAGTATCCCAAAGATCGCATCCAAGAAAAATCATGACGCCCTACATTAAATGCTTTCTCAAACTCCTTGAAAATGAGTTCGGGGCCTTTCCAACGTGGTGAGTTTTCTAGATATTCTCATCCTGCCGTGACACCGACCTCCTTGGCTTGATTGATCATCATGTTCAATATATCCTTCTCTTCTGGTGAAAAATCTCGTTTTAGATCTGCGTCCGTGGTCAGACAGCACATATTGCTTTCCTCGAGTTGCCAAGCGCCCGGCTCTCGGATATCCCTGGGTTCAATCAGGTAGTGTTCGAATTTGCCAAACTTCTTCTGTTTCTTGTCGGCGAACTTGTTGTCCAGAAGCCAGCCGTTGAACCAAAGTGGTTTGCCATTCAAGTCCAAATGAAGAAGCTGCGGAGAGCAGATAGTGTAGTTCGAGGGCTCCGGTCGTTCCTCGGGTTCGTGCTCTTCGGGCTCTTCAGCAACCTCGTATTCTTCCGTAATCTCTTGCCCATTCTCGTCCAATTTGGGCTGACCATTTTCGTCCATGACCGGCCTCTTCTTTTTCACCATTCTCGGTTTCCTTTCTTCCTCTTTCGGGTCCTGAACGACGCCCATTGTGCCAGCGTCACCTTGATGGAAGGCATAGTCTTGATCTCCCACAAGCTCCCAACCAAGCCAGAAGGTCTCTTTGTCACCTGCAGAGTTCGTTAGTAAGGGTTACCAGAACAGAATATTAGACAAAGCCTACCGTAGACCATGTCGTAAATGCCGACTCTGCCTTCGTCTTTATTGCCGTCTCGATCAGGTCCATTCATTCTCGTAACCAGGAGAAGAGCGATAAAGTGGCGCCATTTATCTACCACAATCACACCCGATTCCTGCATGTGACCGCTATCGCCCGTCCAAAACCGGCTCTGCTTCACCTGTCTCGAGATCGGTTTGGGCAAAATCTGCTGCAACCACCGCTTCTTCGATTCAGGCATAATTAGACGATCCCTGAAGAAAAGGGCACCAGCTTTCTGGTACGCAGGATCCTCGAACAAGGTTTCCGGGTTGACGAAAAACAGACTGTCAGCATCAATAAAGATGACTTCGCGGAAGCTAGAATACAGGATTGCAAATGGCTTTGCGGCCCAGCCGGCCAATTTCCAGCCTTCGTCGTTGACCATCTGGGCAATGTCCCGAGTAAGCACGCCATCCAGGCTTTCCAGGTCAGAACGGTAGTCCTCAGAGAGATCCGAGTCACCCAAGTACATGATCTCGATCGGCAGTGTGCACCCCAGTTTTCGAAAGGTGGGGATGATCGTGAGCAGGAAAGGAGCCTGATCATCGCCTGCTGTCAGGACGATACCCCTACCCCCCTTTTTAAAATGGGAGTGGAGAGTCATATGATCAGGGAAGTAAGGCGCTGTCCACGGGAAGAGGAGTTGGCCGAACTTGACCAAAAAGTATCGGTACGCCTCGTAGGAGTGGATGGTCTGAGCTAGAGAGGACTCGCCAATGTCGTCGGCCGAGGGCTGGTGCTGATGGTGTCGCAGATATTGGATAACGTCGTCTCGCACATAGCTGCCACCTTCCTCATCGAACGTGAGGTGAAGCTCTTCCCAAGCCTCAAAGAACTTTTTATATTCGCGAACCCGCAGACCCATTTCTCGTAGTTTCTCCTTCCCAGTACCTTCAACAGCGCGTAGCAAGTCTCTGCCCTCCATCTCACCCGGAAGAAGACTGATGACTCGTGCGAGAGCCTTCTCGAATTTCGGGCGTTCTGAGAATGTGCTCCAGTGAGTAGATGGGTTGGTTGAACCTGAATGGCCGGATCCTTTCGGAGAATATGATTTTGGTTGTGCAGCCACATCATCCTGTTTCGAGAGAACAGGCCCTTCATCCGCAGATTCTGGCTGCAATCGGGTCTTCGGGTTTTGCACTGGGGCCTCAACCGGAGGAGCCTCAAACCTCATCTCAGGATTTGATTTCGGATCTGTAGGGTCGTGCACAATCACATTGCCTGACGACTGCCCCTGATTGGAGGCCCCGTTTGGAGATGCTCGGAATACGGGATCATGATCTGATGATAGTTCCTTCGATCTGTCGGGAGGCGATACGATTTGCGGCTGAATCGTCGAACTTGTGCCTCCAGAGGTGAGAAGATATATTAGGGGAATGCATAGGAGTACTATAATGATAACAAGACCCTGCCGTGATCGTAGACTCCGTCGTGTTGGACCAGCATATGGTAGGCCTGGAAAAGAACGCCCTTCCTTTAAGGGCGCATGCCTTGGGGTAAACATGCCTCCAGGAGATCGCATCGGGAGGGGTTTGTTGTGTTGTAGACTGTTTGAAAAATACCCAATACCCAGGATAGATGTTGAAGCCAGATGTCAACTAAGTCGATATTCCCAAAATAACAAGAAACAATGTCGTCGGTGGCGAAACACGCGTTCCAGACGCGACAAAGGGGCAGCCTTTTACCCCTTTACGTCTTCAGGGCAGACAGCCAATAGAAATAATGGGACTCGTCTATGGAATGAGATTAAAAGATTGCGCAAAGATGATCATGATGGGGACAAATTGTAGGATGCAGAGAGATGCAAAGACGGGAACTCGTTGAAATGAACACGAATAATGGACAAGGGGCGTCGAGAATCGATGGCAAAGAAAAACTTGGTCACGAAGCTGAATATCCCTTGCCTCCCCGTATTTCCATATTAGGACTAGCGCTTCTCGGTTGTCGCTTCCCCTTTCGGCTCCACTTGTTTCACTTTTTGAGGCTGCGCCATTTGCGCCATTTTTCCCCTTTTCCTCCTTCGCATCTCTTCAAAAGTTCTTCAATAATTCCCTGATGGGCAAATGAGGTAGGAGGTGGGTGTATAGGGGATGCTAGATGTACACCGCAAGACCAAACGCCCATCTCGTAATCACGGCGCCCTGAACGCACGTTCCTTCCGTCGAATGACCTGCATGATCTCCCCGCCATTGGGAGATCTGCGGCTAACCCTATACCAAGTACGCCGCTGCGAAGAGCCTCAGGCACTTTGCTATAAATAGCGGCCTCAATCAAATCGATTTGATTGGAAAGCACCTTCAACAGATCAGGCCATTCTCTGTTTCGGGAGCTTGGGAATCAGCAACCACACAGCCAGGCATAATACCAAGGCAGCCAGAATGATGGGCTGCAGCACCTTGACTCCTTTGGCATTTGCAATCGCTCCAACAGCGAACGGCAACACACATGCACCACTCGCTCCGAAAGCAGCGGCAAACCCCACAGCGGGTACGTGCAGCTTCTTCGGGAGCAATTTGGTAAGCGCCACAATGGCTGCGGGGAAGAGAGGTCCTAGGAAAAAGCCCAGCAAGCCAACCATGACCGCACTGACGACGAAGTTCGGAATGAGCCAGAACATCAACTGGAGAGCCACGCTGCACAACAAGTACACGGCGACCGCGTGCTTCTCCGATCTGAATAACCGAGCGGTAACGAAACCGAGTACCAATCGACCGACGGCGATCCCGAGCCAGAAGCCCATCGATGTGAGCCCAGAGGCAAACGGCGAGCCTTTCCTGACACGCCACATAAAGGTCACGATCCAACCGCCAACACTGACTTCGACACCCACATATATAAGCAGGAACACCGAGGCAATCAAGGTTACTCTTTGCTTGACCGCCTCCAGAGTCTTGCTCTTGCCCTTTGCTCTTTTGCCACGTGGATTGAGCCTTGAAAAAATGCTTTGTTTCTTGTCGACTTGACTAGCGGCGACCGCATTATCCGAGGTGGTCGGAGTGCTTGATTCTGAGGTATCGAGGTCGGCAGTCTGAGGGTGCTCGGCGTTATAGGCCCGGCCATCTGCTTTCCAGAAAGTCCCCACGAGAACTATGACCTCAATAAATGCTGCACCCACCATGAGATAGTAAAATTCGTACCACCGCCAGCCCGCTTGGGTAACTAGTGTTGTCGCAATTAGAGGAGCGAGGGCTGCACCAAGACCGTAAAAGCCATGTAAGAAGCCAAGCACTTCGTTTGGATTGGCCATGTCACCAATCCAGGCATTCCTGTAAACATAATCAGCATTCTTGACCCCAGACGATTCAGTGACTTTAGCCCACCATCCGCTGTCGCCCAAGCCGTTGCCAAACCCGGCAAGAATAAACACTATTACCAAAACAGGATAAGGCGGATGAACACATATGATAGCTACGGCGCCAGGTTAGTCATGGACGCATTTAACATTAGCGTACTCACTATAAGCGCACAAATGGGAGGTGCTCATGATCCACGCAACACCTCTTTGTCCATATATTGTATGAATGTAGTTGTTCAAAAGTGCAGACATCGTATAGCCCACTATTGGCGACAGAAAGATGAGACTGATAACTGTGTAATTGACCCCGTAGAATGTTTCGAGGTAGGGTATCAAAGCTCCGTATGCACCATCATTGGCACCTAAGATGATAAAAGAATAGAAGGTCCCGAGACAGCGCCACATGTTGATTCTGGGAGAGTTCCATTTCTGTAGTTGAGGCGTAGCAGTCGAGGGAGCGGGCAAGGCTCCGGCCGATATGTCCTCGTAGACAGGCGGGCTCTTTCCTGACTCCTCCGGCTGGTGAGATCTCAAGGGCATCTCCAGGACGACCGTGGAGCTTCCACATGACGAGGAATTATTGATCTGCATTCTGTCGGGTTTTGTATGTCTTGGGGGACTTTCCGAAGAGGATCGAATGGTTTAACGCTCAGCTAGATGTGCCTGAAACACGAAGCTGGGGATTCCGGGACATTTAATGTGTCTAAGACATAAAATTTCGATCACAGTCTTCTGGTATCTTCAGCGTCCCAAAGAAATATGCGGCAAAGAAAACATCCTTTTCATAGAGAAGAAAACAAGTCTAAGTAGAAAGATGATCTCACTTGTCCGAGGATCAACCGAAGGCGGCGCGGCGGCTCGCAGGCCCTGAGGAGATGGCGGGCCGATCTTTGCGAAAGGCATATTGGGCTGAATCAGGAACATGACCCCGGATGCTGCTTTAGGCTGCTGTACTCGGAATTGCTCAATGGGACGTCGCTGAATTGTTCGGTTGAATTATTCATGTCATCCACTTTGCAGGCGTCACCCAGGCGTAGCACTGGCTGGTGGCTGTGAGGAGTGGAGTGATTCCACCACCGCAGGCTATTTGGATACTTGTCATTCTTGGCATTATTACGTCGAAGCAGAAAAGCGGCCATTAGTCAATTACAGCTTGTGTCCTTATGATCCGCCGTTTGTAGCGCGGCGCCGTGACTTGGCCCCTCACGTGCCATTTAACAGACGCGTTCGTCCACACGCGTGACGCGTTGATGCGCTCCTGCCTCTCTCACCAATTCCACTCACCTCTTTCCTCACTGACGCCAACTACTCAACGTGACCATCGACTCATAAGGTGATTTTCACTGTAAGCACCCTTGGTAGATTTCCGTCTACCTTCATGCCGACTCGAGAGAGTTCAACCTCAGTTCTTCCTCCTTTTCCCTACTGAACCTCGAGATCCTATCGCGAAGGTGAGCCCATTGTGAAATGGTAGCCGAAATTTCATGCCACGCCTAGCCTCGTCTTGGTCTCGTCTTACCTGACATGTATGCACTCGAATCTTTCAGCAGAAACTCCAGCAGAAACGATATCAATTCTAAACGAGTTGAGGCAACTTCCCCCAAACATAAACTTACAAGCACTGAAAAATCCCTCAACACCACCTCAGTAATCAGCCACCATCCTGGTGAGTTGGTTGTCCTCGGAATTCTGCGTGACGAAGCCCTTGGTGAAAGAAAGGCCACGGATGCCCTGGTGCACCATGCACTGAAGAAAGTCTGTGGCTGCGCCCCTCAACACGTAAGCGAACAATTGGGAGGCTTGAAGCAGATACAGAGCACTAGTCCAGGAAAACAGCCCTCAGAGGAAACACCGCAATCTACGCTTGCCTTGAGAGAAAGCAGCATTAACAGCTGCGCACGATTCTTCTCTGCTATCAAGCTCAGTCCTCGCTCATTAAGTCCCAGAACAGAACGTGCGAATCCGCGGTGGGAATCATCTTCCGGTTTCCAGGACAAAATGATCCCTGCCTACAACGGCCCGGCCGACAGTATGTGTCATCGCAGCGATCTTCAAGACAAGCCTCGTTCCCAGGCATGCGCAACTGCTCGTTTAACTATGTCTGACCTCTTCGATGACCGCACACCTGAGCAGCTTGAGAAGTGCGTTGAAAAGGGCCAAGAGTTGCTGGAGAAGATCAAGCAAACCCTGGGAGAAGTCTCTGATCCAGACGTAAGTCGAATGTCTCAAGCAACTAAGAATGTCCAATCCCAAGCTATCCCTGCCAAAACGGTCATCGGTATTGTCGGCGCGACTGGCGCAGGCAAAAGCTCTATCATCAATGCCGTGCTCGACGAAGAACGTTTAGTTCCGACCAGCTGCATGCAAGCTTGTACCGCTGTTGTGACAGAAATCAGCTACAACAACCACGGAGGTGCTCCATATAGAGCTGAGGTCGAATTTATCTCAAGGGACGACTGGCGGAAAACGTTGAAAGTTCTCTTCCAAGATCTCCGCGATCAGCCGGGCCAGATCAACATGAACGAAGACTCCGACTCTACTGTCGCCTATGCTCAAGTGAAGGCAATATATCCATGGCTAACTAAAGAGGAAATTGATGAGGCACCTATCGAAACATTGATGGAGCATAAGAACGTTGCCCATCTAGGCGATAAGCTCAGCATTGAATCGAGCAATGCTGACACGTTCTACAAGGAATTGCAACCTTTTGTAGACAGTAAGAAGAAGAAGACTGCTGGACTCAAAGAACGGGCAGAGCATGAGCAAGAGGCGGAGTTTTGGCCCCTGATTCGGGTTGTCAAACTTTATGTCATGGCTCCTGCTCTAGCCACTGGTGCAGTGCTCGTCGATCTCCCAGGAGTTCATGATAGCAACCAGGCTCGCGCAGCAGTCGCTAAAGTAAGTCATCGACCAGCGTACATCGGCTTTCTTGCACTTTTCATACGAGGCTTCGTTGACATTGATGTCATCGCAGGAATACATGAAACAGTGTACCGGACTCTTGATTGTTGCACCCATCACAAGAGCAGTTAACGATAAATCTGCAAAGACCCTACTAGGCAACTCTTTCAAACGTCAATTGAAGATGGATGGAGGGCTCAATTCAGTTACTTTTGTCTGCAGTAGATCCGACGAGATCTCGGTCACTGAGGCTCAGGATTCTCTTGATCTGGCGGAAGAGCAGGCTACCATGTTGGCAGAAGAAGGAGATTTATCAAAGCAGAAGGATGTATCCACAGAGCAGATTACAGATCTTGAACGCCGAAAGGATGAAATTGATGCTGCTCTAGATTCCGCGGATGATGAACTTGAAGTCTGGGGAACGCTGCGAGACGACACAAGTGTCACCAGGCCCCCGAGAGAATTTCTGAAGCGAAAATTCTCAGAAATGATCAGCCACACGGTGAAAGGGACAAAATTCACCGAGCCTGGTCCTGACGTTGACCTTTCCCCTAGCAGCGAGGAGTGTGCCGGAGATATCGGGTCAGAACACACATCATCAGACCCCAGTGACGGTCATACGCAGCCACTTACAGACCACGATATATCAACCAAAATCGCCGAGATCACAAGAACCAAAAAAGCATTGCGCAGCGAGAAGCGCAAGATTGATAGGGAGATTCGAACACTGAAGGCTCAAGTTGGAGAATTCGACACACAGCAGGAGAGCATTTCCGCAGAGATTCTCGCACAGTGTATCAAAGGTCGGAACGAGTATGCACGACGTGCAATTGCTCGTGATTATGCTGCTGGTATCCGTGAACTAGATCAAGAGCTGGCCGACGAAGATGATCCAGAGAATTTCGACCCCAGCATGGATGCTCGCGATTACGACGAAGTGGCTCGCAATTTACCCGTCTTCTGCGTATCTTCTCGTGCGTATCAGAAGTTGATGGGCAGATTTCAGAGGGACAAAGCTGTTCCAGGATTTCAGCACATAGAGGAGACGGAAGTTCCGGCCCTGCAAGCTCACTGCGTGCACCTCACAGCTACTGCGCGTCAAGCATCTTCTCGCAAGTTTCTTACCAGCTTGTTTCAACTGCTCAACTCTCTCCGTCTATGGGTTGCGCATGGCAACGTTGCAAATACGCTTGCAGCGATGCGGTTAGACCAAGAAGTCCAAATTCTTGAAGAGAGGCTCAACAGCCTTGATTCGGTAAGTTTTCTGCGTAACCAGTAATCAGCGCCTTGTGCGCATGGAGATTATTCTTACTGACCGTCGCTAGGCCCTGGAAGATACATGTGGCACAAGTGTTGATGAATTTTCTGACCAGCTTCAATGCAAAGTCTTTGAGGCTTACGCCAGCGCGACAGCGGCAGCGCAAAATAAAGCAGCCGAAATTGCTCGCAAATGGGGATCGCCTGTCAATCAGGAGAATCCAGCCGCAGGAGGTCTCCACTGGTCGACGTATAGAGCCGTGGTTCGCCGCGATGGATGTTTTACGAATCACCGGGGCTGTCACAACTTCAACGAGCAGTTAATCGAACCACTGATCCGACAACTCGCCAGACCTTGGGAATCTGTTTTCAGTCGCAGCCTGCCCATTATCTTCAGGCGACTCCCGCTGATCGTAGCTGACAGGATTACCGTTTTCCACGAAGATGTTGAGGGCCGCGCTGTCCGCAACGGTGTCTCTGCGCTCATTTTCGAGCTGCTCAAGCAACAGATACCCGTGTATAAAGAAAAGATGAATGTCATAATCAAGGATGCGAATAGTTGGGTAACCCAGCAACAACGCACCTTCAATCGGGAGTTTGAACCTCTGATGTCTAACCGTATGCAAGAAGTTTACAACGCTTGCGCCCGTGAGGAAGGCAGAGGGTGCTTCAAACGGATGAGGGACGCAATGGAGCGGTACGTGGAGGACAAGAAGATGGTCATGTTTGATGATGTCGCCAACGACGTCCGCAAACTAATCACGCAGATGCTGAAGGAGCTGAAAGATACTTTAGTCGGCAGTCTCAAAGGCATTTCTGAAGACATCCGGAGAGAGTATACTAATGTGGTGATACGTCAAGAGATCGGACCTGAAGAGCGGCAAGCGATGCGAGACAAGGTTCTTGACATTGTCGACAGTGCCGAACTTGTTTTCGAGCAAGCCCTTGGTCTCAGAGAGGAGTCGACGCTCGAGGCTGAATTGCCGATTCAATGCCAACCAGAAATCGCCGATATGGCCCCCGTGGTGAAAGGGGAGCCGGGATGGGAAATCTCACGAGCAACGCCGAAGATGGAGTCGGTAGAGCCGGTAAACGGGAAACCCGAACATTACATGGAGCTGGCTGATGCGTGAAGCGTCGGAGGATATCGCAGCCTAGGGGTTGAGTTGTGCGGCTGGAAGCGCTGACATATCCCGGCCAATCGACTCTTTTCCTAAGACCAGGATAGGGGGTTGACGGAATGCCGCTGTTCAACTACATCGGTTTCCCTGAGGCAAAGAGAAAGTCAGTGAACTTCTACAATATGCTGCTGATGCGGGACTCGGGTCGAGGTGAAGTTCGCTGGCCCTTTCTTCGTTTGGGACTGGGACTTGGGACTTGTATCCAGCGAATGGCATACAATTGTCGAATACGGCCTCAAAAAGGAGAGGCGGCTGTTGGGGCTTGCAGTGCTACTGCTGCCACTGTTGTTGTTGCTGTAAGTTGTATCGAGGCTATCAGGCTCCGAGGTGCGCTCTGGCTTGGTCGTCTCAGGGACAACGAGAGAAAGGCATTCGAAGTTCACTAGGCACCCAGCTAGGCTGGACGAGCATGTCAGCCAGCCAGAGTCAGAGCGGAAAGGAAAAATCTCTCAAATGAGAATTAGGAGAGTTATGAGAGTGCTAGCTAGCTGGCAGCAAACACACATAGTTACATAGTTGAACTCGTCGATCCGCAATCACATTCACTAGTGCTGTGTTTGATATCTCGTCTGGATTCTCAAGCCAAATCCACCGCTTTTCTACAGCGGCTTCACATCGAGTCGAATCGGAGTGGGCCATTGCATCTCCACCTCGTTCATCTTTTGAAAAGGAAAACCCATTATCGCTTGCCCTCCCTCCCTCCCTTCCCTTCATTCCCGCTCGGTATTATTGCTTTTGCAATAATTAAATGTGCTTCCTTCGTATATCACAACGCCGAAACGCCAGCGCTAAATATCACAAGTTGGGTGCACGTCAATATCTGATCGTTGGCCGACTGTAAAGCCTGCTCTTTATCATCATTATTGCGTGGGTGCAAGTCAAAAATCCATCCCCGATGTCCCCATCTTGTCATTTATATCAAGAACCCTAGACTCTGTCAGCACGCTGAAACACAGATAGCGGGAAAAGGTAACCACTCACGAGTATTGCTTCGTCAAAGTCCCTTCACCTCCCTTTGCTAGGTCAATGGTAAACACATAGAAATTCCCCTCGCTCGTTACAACCATGACCTGGGGCGAGTTGGCACTCATGGCCACCACGCTGCGTAACTGACTCGGTGGAGCACCCGAGCTGGATCGCGGCAGTCGTATCCACGCAAAGTCTCTTGACGGCTCCCACATCTCAGCGACTCCTTTCGGGAGGTATCCTCCTACTGTAGAGGCCAGATTGATTCCGACATGCTGCGACGTCCTTCGGAGGAGACCCATGAAGGTTCCGTTGGGTTTGCGATTGGCCATTGCAGTTGGGGATTCCGCACCATCCTCCTCGTCGACCGGTTGGTCCACGAGAGTGTCACTACCTTGACTCAATCTCCGGCTTGCGGTACTGCTCATTTTACTGGGTGAAGCAGGTTCCTCTCCTTCTTCCGTTGCCCGGGTGTGTTGTGGACCCAGTTTGAAAATGTGGACAGTCTCCGTGGCCGAGGACACGCACAGCAAGGTCGAGGTTATGTTAAAGGCCATGCTGTAGATCCTGGAAGGCATGGATCCCCTTCTAAATTGGTAGAGTTTGTGTGCATCTGGAACCGAAAAGACTCGGATAATAGTGCCCTTGTCCGACGCTGTAGCCATCAGAGTTCCTTCGTTGTTGAAGATGACACAAGAAAGTGGAGACCGGTGAGCTTCCACGACGTTGATGGCTTCTAGCTTGACGGCATCGAACAGCAGAACCTCTCCGGTGGTTGGAGGAACGTGTGTGCTGTTGGGTGGAGCGTGTGAAGGTGGAGCAAAGGACGATGCCACCGCTTTTTGAGGCAGAGGGTATGCCAGGTAGCAGTTGTCTTGGGAAGGAGAAAGGGCACATATAGCTGCAGGGTTTGGCGAGGTCTCAATCGTGTACAGCAGTTTCATAGTCTGGATATCATAAAGGTAGATTTGATCTTCCAGCACAATCACCAGCCTCTTTCTATTCAAGCGTACGGCGAGGACGGCGTTGGGAAAGGTGAGCTCGCATATTATCAGGTCTCGTTTCGTGTTTTTGATCTGGAGCCTTCTCGGAGACAGGATGAGGGCCACCAGAGAGGTAGAGAAAAGCATTTCGAGGATAGCAACGTTGCCGGCATCTCGGGATTCGAAGGACTTTGCAAATGGTTCGGTGGTGAAGATGCGAAAACCTCTCGATGTGCCTAGGGGAGTTAGGTTCATGTACACGGTGACCGAGGAATCATGGTAGTCACGTACCTACAGCCAAATGGCTGTAGTCCTGATTGAACGTCACAAAGTTCATAGCCATGGTGAGTGGTCTACGGGCGGCGCTGCTGCTGCTGCTGCTGCTCGTGCTACCGGTGTTCGTCCATGGGCCAGAGGCTCTCTTTCGTGACTTGAGCGGGAGAGGCCGCTCCTCCGGATGTCTTGTTCTCGACCTTGCAGGGAGAACACAGATGGGAGCTCGCAGGATTTCCTTCGACAACAAACCAGAAAAAAAGGTCGAGGGCTGTGGATTAGCTGCACTTTTGGGTGCGGTGGAGGAGGGAAGCCTCGCTAAAGATCAGGCTCTATGGTCAGTCCAGGGCATGTGACGTCGCGTTTCCCCCACATTATGCGGCTCGCCTGTATTTACAAGTCCAAGTCCATCTCTCTAGGCAAGCACTATGCCATCTTGAAGTCACCACTTCTCAGCTGACGATGGACTTGTCAACAAAACATAACAGACTCTGCCGCATCTGAGTACTACACACGATGGCCGAGGCTATGGATGTCGACGCAGTCCCCCCGCGAGGTGTCAAGCGCACGGCGGAAGAGGCAGGCTTGCCTCCTGAGGCTCCGCCTCGTATCAAGGCATGTTGGATGGGCTCCGGGGTTGGGAGTACGCAATCATGCTGACTTGTGCTCTAAAAGCCTCTTGATCAAGATGTCGTCAACAAAATTGCCGCAGGCGAGATTATCGTCGCCCCCGTGAATGCTCTCAAGGAGTTACTCGAAAACTCCATCGATGCTGGATCCACTTCTATCGAGGTTCTGGTCAAAGATGGCGGCCTCAAGCTGTTGCAGATTACCGACAATGGCCATGGAATCGAGGTGCGGTCCTGAAACTGGACAAGGTTTCGGAAGCTGATATCCAACAGAAAGATGACTTGCCCATTCTTTGCGAAAGGTTTACCACCTCCAAGTTGAAGAACTTCGAGGATCTCATGTCCATTGGCACGTACGGTTTTCGCGGAGAAGCCCTTGCCAGTATCAGCCATATTGCTCACCTCAGAGTAACTACAAGGACTGCGAACTCTAGCTGTGCGTGGCAGGCACATTATCAAGATGGAAAACTTTCCGCGCCGAAACCTGGTCAATCTTCAGACCCGAAACCCTGTGCTGGTCGGCCTGGAACACAGATCACTGTCGAAGACCTTTTCTACAATATCCCCAACCGTCGTCGGGCCTTTAGATCGCCGTCGGAAGAATATGCAAAGGTGCTTGATATCATTACCCGATACGCCGTGCACCGCGAAGGTGTTGCGTTTTCCGTCAAAAAGCACGGTGAGACTAGTATTGGCTTCTCAGTAGCCGCTGCCGCCACCAAAATTGACAGACTCAGGCAAGCATATGGAGGAAGTATTGCAAAGGAGATCATGGAGTTCGGCACCGATGATTCACGATGGGGCTTCAGAGCATCTGGCTATGCGACCAATGCGAACTACCATTCGAAACGAACGACGTTACTCCTCTTCATCAACAACCGGTCGGTCGAGTCATCAGCTGTCAAGAAAGCTATCGAGCAAACATACCAGCTATTTCTTCCTAAAGGTGGACATCCCTTTGTCTACCTCAGCCTGGACATCGATCCTGCCCGAGTTGATGTCAATGTACACCCCACGAAGCGAGAAGTCCACTTCTTGAACGAAGACGAAATCATTGACTTGGTTTGTGCAAACATCCGGGAAAGTCTGGCAAAGGTCGATACTAGCAGGACTTTCAAGACTCAGACACTCCTTCCTGGGGTCACACCCATGACGCCAATGAATCCGAGGTTCACGACCGGGGACCAAACTCCTGCTACGGACGACACCAATTCAAGAAGGACCTCAACCGCTAAAAAGCCCTATGAAAACAATTTAGTACGGACTGACTCGAAAATGCGAAAAATCACTTCGATGCTTCCGCCCGCCTTGCAAACTTCAACATCTCAAGACGAGACTGTGACAACTGCGGGCATACGGTACGCAACAATCGATCGAGAACAAGTCCAAATACGGCTCACATCCGTGAAGGATCTCCGAGCCGAAGTCCGTGATGCAATGCACAACGCATTGACCGAAGTATTCGCCTCTCTTACCTACGTCGGTGTTGTGGATAGCAACAGAAGACTAGCAGCCATCCAGTCGGGCGTCAAGTTGTACCTTGTTGACTACGGGATGACATGTAACGAGTTCTTCTATCAAGTCGGTCTGACTGACTTTGGCAATTTTGGGCTCATCCAGTTGGAGCCTGCGCCTAGCCTGAAGGAGCTTCTAGATATCGCGGCCGAACATCAGATCTCGATCGACCCGACCTGCGCAGGTCTGGACAAAGACCAAGTCGTGGACAAGGTGTACGAACAGCTCATGAAAAGCCGAGCCATGCTAGCGGAGTATTTCTCCCTTGAGATTTCCGAGGACGGCCATTTGCAGACGATCCCACTGTTGGTGAAAGGGTATACGCCGTGCATGGCCAAATTGCCCACGTTCTTACTGAGGTTAGGCCCTTTCGTGAACTGGACCGAAGAGGAAGGCTGTTTCCGTACATTTTTGCGGGAGTTGGCCAGTTTCTACGTGCCCGAGATGCTGCCAGCACCGAAACCGAATCAGCAGCACACGGCAAATGGCAAGGACAAGGAGAAGCGCGGGGAGGACGTGATGCAGGACGTGGGAAGCGAGCCAGAAGCTCCTCACAATCCGCCAGCGCGAGACGATGATAATAACGACAACGATAACGACGGAGACAACTCCGATGAAGCCACAGAGAAGAGAAGGACAGAGCTTGAACACGCGCTCGAGCACGTCCTCTTTCCAGCCTTTCGGTCAAGGATCGTGGCGACACAAGGGATGCTCAAGGGCGTCGTCGAGGTGGCGAACCTCAAGGGCCTGTATCGCGTTTTTGAGCGGTGCTAGAAATATAGAATAGAATCAATTTTGTTCTTTCATTCTCTCTCTGTCTCTCTTTTTCTCCTCTCACCCCTGACGCTTTCCTTCCCCCAAACTCCCCACCGTCATCTCCCCTAACACATGTAAAAAAGAAACGACACCACGGATTGAAAAAAGGCTAATTGGTCCCATTGTACGAATACCACACATCGCCCAAGACACTGCGGGCGCTCCCGTCGACGTTGAGGAGCATGTTCGTCGTCGGGGTGCCGAAGGTGGTGTAGCCGCCTGGAAAATTGCCGAACCAGGCATACCGTTCGACCCAGGTCTGGGCGTCCATGAAGCGCGTGGCGTTCTTGAGGAACTGCGCCGTGGTGGGCTGGTCGTAAAAGTCCTGGTCCATGCCGAACTCGGTGACCCAGATGGGGAGCGGGGCGGCAGCACCGGCGGGGGAGTAACTGACGGACAAGTTGTAGGCTTGGGCGAGGTAGCTCTCAAAGTAGTCGATGTTGTAGGGCGACGCGTACCAGTGGATGTTGAGGAAGTCGATCGTCAGGTTCTGCTGCGTCGCGTTGCCCAGGAACTGCGCCAGGTACGTGAGCCCGCCGCCGGCGTTGGTCACGGCGGGGGCGCCGATCTTGACCCTCCCCGCGAACGGTTGCATGAAGTCGTGGTAACCCTGAATGGACTGCGCCACGGGCATGTTGGCCGACTGGCCGTTGAAGTTGGCGTCGGGCTCGTTGAACCCGAAGATGGCGTCGGTGCCGTAGTTGGCAATGGAAAAGTTGACGTTGGCGACCCAGATGGACGTGAGAGAGTCGGCGTCGTTGTACAAGAGAGGGATGAAGCGGTATTGGGACGAAGGGTAAATACCGACGTCGTCGCTGGCGTTGGGCAGCGAGTAGTAGTTGTACGACCACGAAATGTAGGGTGATGGGGGAAGGTAGAATTGAAGCGTGGTGACATTGCGGTAAGTAAGTCCTCGTTTGGCGGGATACGGAGTGGCTATGGGACTGGAAGACGAGCTCACCGTTGACACGCTCCTGGTGCTGGTTCGTGAGTTCGTATGTGAGCCAGTGGTGCTGGTCCTGCCTGTAATGGTGATGATGGAAGAAGACGTGGAGATTGTAGTTGAGCTGATAGTGTCCGGCTTCGACGAAGTGTTCGTTACGGATGTGGACTGACTAGCTACCGTGGTTGTTGACTTCGTTGTACTAGACGATGAACTTGGAGAGAGACTTGTAGATGCACTGCTTGAGTCCGCTGGCGTGGCGCTCGATAAGATTGTCGTCGCTAAGGATGAAAGCCTTGACATTGAGCTGGACATTGACGCCCCTCCCTCAACAGTTACGCTCGTTGTGCTCGATGAGGCTGAGGCTGTCGCCAGGCTGCTTGGAGTATTTGTTGCGTGGTTTGAAGGCGACGAAGTCAAGGCAGTAGAAGCTGCTTCACTACTTGTCGTGGCTGAGAGAGACGATACATGAGAGGATGAGGACAGTGGCGAGCTTGTAGGTTGTGCTGAAGACTGAGTTGTTAGAGTCGCAGAGACTGATTGCGTTGGCGATGACGAGGAGGTACTCATGCTGGTGGATGTCAATTGTGGAGATTGTGACGAACTTGCAGGTGTTTCCGTCGTCGTCGTCGTCGTCGTCGTCGTCGTCGTAGTAGTGGTGCCAGAGGACGGGTTTGACTCCGTGCTGGTGAGCGACGAGCTGACTATATTGGTCGTAAAGGTGCTTCCGGCAGTCTGTTGCGTAGTCTCGCTCGTTTGTTGCTCGGTTATGCTTGTAGTGCTTGTGCTTGTCCAACTGGCCAGACTTGAGCTCGATGTCGAAACATCAACGAAGTCGGCCGCCATGGTAATTGGTATAGCTCCCTCAAGCGGCTGACTCCCAGGGAAAACCACATACAGCCGTCCATTAGGAGTCGCCGAGAATGTCGTATCCCCAAACATCAATCTTGTCCCGTTGAAAGACCATCTATAGTCACTCGGCTGAGTCGAGTCGAAAAACTGGACGAGAGACAATGTGCCTGTATTTCCGGTGGTGCCGACATCGCCATTCCCGGTTTTCAAGTGGCCAGTCACAGTGAGAACAAAAATAGTAGCAACGTCTTCGTCAGGAGAGAGATAAGCATTGCCACCGTTGAACGTCACATAGTCCAGGGCACGAGTTCTCAGTTTATTGCCGATACCACTGACAGTGATCACGAATGGGTTTGAGGTCGGAGACGGGATTGTTGTGGTTGGCACCGTGGGACTCGTTGTACTAGAGGGATTGAAAGACGTACTCGAAGAGGAAAATGACGAGGCAACACTGCTAGAGCCTGATATTGAAGCTCCTGAACTCGTGGATATGGTTGACAGGCCCCCACTGGTAGTGAGAGTGCTTGATGTGGTCGTGTTCCCATAGACGATGGACGAGGTAAGGTAACAACCATCGGGCAGGGTCGAAACTGTAGCGCAGTTAGTATTGGAGGATCTCGAGATCATGACCACAGCACCGACCTGATTGAGCAGCAGACAATGCTAGAATACCCTGTAAGACCAGCAGAACATTGTCCAACTTGACGACACACTTTGTAAGCCGCATCTTGTCGTTTCCACCTCTTGTCCTGCTTCACTCACCTCTATTTCCCGTATAGAAACATCTACCCGACTTCGGTCGCGCTTCGACTAGCTCTGTTATTTGGGTCCCTTGCCTGGAATGTAGGAGTAGGAATGTGTGCGATGGCCAGTGCGCCGTTCAGATGTCTCTGTCTCGTTCATCCAGATTGGCCTGCAAATTTCCTACTAAGAAAGGGGGAACCAGCAAAGAGTCGATTTGGAAGGAAATAGAAGCTTGGAACGAGTTCCAAAGCCTTTTTTTGTGTGAAATGTCTGTCCTTGAGCGCCTGCAATTGCTAAACCTAGTATACACATCCGGCTTTTTTGTCTTCGCATTCGAGAATACCTTTTTGTATATGGTACACAGACACATGGTAGCCGCTGGAAATGCTCAAGAAACGCCCATGATATGTCCTTCATGCTCCATGATGCTCTATTATGGGTATCGTTGTCGTACTGAAAGAAACGGAAATTCGAAACAGAAATCTCACTTCCATATGCCTTTAAAATCCCGGGCTCGCAGTCGGGCTGACTCCGCTCGTATTGGATGCATTGAGATACTCCGCTGGCACTCTTGGAACCCTGGGACTCTGCAACGCTGCCGTCGCTTGTCCCTGTCCTCCGGATTGCCCGCGTAAGCGTGCCAGATCTTTGATCTTGTCCTTCTCCTTTTGGCTTTCACTCTTGCCGCCTGTAAGACGCCGCATGCCTCTTCGCATTCCCTGCAGGCTGAACGCTCCTCCAGTCTCGTTTGCAGATGTTGGCATTGTCTGATATTCGGAGGGCCCTGGGCCCGACAAAGATTTGGTCTGGTTGGATATAGTCATGCTTAGCGAGGGAAATGGACTGCTCTCTCCGTCCGACATAACGACCTCATCGTACTGATCAGCATAATCATCCTGAGACCTGAATGATCCGCCTTCAGACATGGGAGTCATTCCATATGAAGTTGGTTGCGATGCCGGAAATTGGTTCGCTGGAGAGGTAATTGATCTGGCATGAAGTCCAGGTCGAGTATGATTGACAGGACTCAGCGCGCTCTGGAGCATTGGCTTCTTGGTAGAATTGGGCAATGACGGTCCCGGGCCTCCCAACTCGTCGATCGAAGAGAAGGATGATTGTGTGGCTGCGGTAGAACTTGGAGACGATAGACTAGGCTGAGTTCGATGAATGATGCCAGGTAGTGGTCCGGCTTCGGTAAACCCATCCTGTACCGTCGTTGTCGATGACGTCCGCGCTAGACTCTGACGAAGAATCGGGGCAGTCTGCTCGTCATACAGTGCTGTGCTGTGTTCGGTAAGAGTGGGAAGCGCAATGGCGGACACGCCAAGCTGACTGGTGCCGGTGGGAGTTAAGACGTCGTCGCCATCCAGATCGTCGAAGAAATCATCGAGGCTGTCAAGTGTGTTGACCAAATCACTGACATTGGCGTCTGCCGCCACTTCCAGTGACCGGATAGTTTCTGCACGACTCTGGGGGGGAAAGTATGAATCCGTGTAGCCATCATCACCTTGAAACTCAACATCAGGAGTGGTGGTTTCTTGAGTATTCAATAAGTCCGAGTCGCCGCATGTATAGAAAACAGCATGGACATTGTGCCTCGTCATGCTTGAATAGATGGCAGGTGTCGGGATAGACCAGCCGGATGAGTGGGGAATCCCGTACAGGCTTTGTGTCCGCTCATACTCTTTTCTGATAGCCTTTGCTGAGCCGGAAGCCATGCTCATCCGCATGTGATGCTTTTCCATGGGCGTAGCTGCTACCTCCATGATATAGTCCATCACTTCCAGAGCTTGTGTGCAGTGCTCCGTCTGCAATAACCGCAGCAGGGGGGAAATGAGATCGGGTCCATGTGTTGTGATGGCATGGCTCTTCATGTTCACAATCGGGATTAACTCGCATAGAATGTCCATCAATTTGACTCGAAACCACGGTGTCTTGTTGGTCAATAGTCCGATCATGAAGATCAAACTTGGGGCGTCGCATGCTGGAAAGTACGCGGCCCTCATGGCTTGAATGGTGGTGGTGAGCATCTCTTGACTCGATGTTATTTCGTTATTGGCGAAACGCTGAAGAGTGGCCGAAAGAAGATCATGGCCAGCTGCGCTCGCCACCTTTGTAAGTTTCTGGGCTGAAGCTATCGTCATAGGTTCGATCTCGTCGAGCTCAAAGCTTCGAAGCCAGCGGGGTAGGTTTGCCAGGACACAATAGAGGAGGCGATTGTCGTTCCCAACTAGTGGGCAATCCGGCAGGTCTGCGAGTTTGTGGAGAAGGAAAAGCGTCTTGTCCAAGCTGTCGGCCGACTTCAGCCCCTTGTAAAGTAGTGGCTGCAGCCCCTCAAAGCCGCCATCCCATTTTCCGGGGAGCCCCTTCATCATAGCCTCCGTAACGTCCGGAGCGGACAAGTCCAATTTGTCGAGGAATTTCTCGAGCATTCCCAACGTCTCGTAGAACTCCCTTTCATGAATGGTATTGAGGCAGGCGCATGTCGTCCAGAAGAGCTGCGGATATCTCAGGAGATTTTTAGGTTCCAGTGCTCCAATGATGACTTTGAGTGTCGTCAAGATCTCCATCGAAAAGGTCTGGTAGTCCGTGTGCTCATCGGCAATCGTGTTGGAAAGTCGTGCAAGCATATCCGCGAGCATCCTAGCATCCAGGCTGACAGAAATGCAACGAAATACTTGGAACGACCGACATGCCAAATGCCGGACAGGACAGATAGAGGCCCAGTGCAGCGCTTCTTTAGCCCAGCTGTCGCTGAAATTGTCAAACGCGAGATTGAAAATGTTGACAATTTCCGAGGTGAGAACCCCCATTGCCTGCGGTACCCGGCTAGCGCCATCGTCTTCGTCCTTCCTCGTGTTGCTCTCGTAAGTCCAGCTTATCCGAGGACTGTTGCTTCGAATTGCAGCAACAAGGCTTTCAATGTCTGACTTGACAGAGGAGAGGATCTGCGAGTCGATCTTTGTGGTTACCAATTCGTGGACGAGGTGGACCAGCATCTCTCTAGCCTGTTCCTGAACTGACGTTGTGTAGTGGTCCCAAAGGATGAGGACAGTATGAATGAGCTTGATCGCCTCATCTTTGGCCAGGGTCACCGGTGTAACCATGAGGTCGACTAAGAAAATCAGGGAGACTTGTCCCAAGGAAAGACCAACCTATTGACTCGTCAGAATGCAATCCGTTCAAAGATCTGGCCTGTCCTACCTGTTTGTTGCCCATAGGCAAAAGGGAAGTCAAATCAGCCACGTAGGGAAGATTCCTTGTATCAGGCATTACTACATCAGCATGCTTTCTGTCATTAACCATGTTCTTTGGCGCGAGTTGTAACATGAAAAATTCCAGTACTCGTGAACCGGCAGGAGTGGAAGAAAGATATACAACGATTTGCTTTGCGTATTCGACAAAGTTCTGATCGCGCCGATCGAGCGACAGGTAAATAATGAAGTCAAGAATCAGTTGCACATTTCCCGCATGAGGTCCTGTTGACAGGGCTTGCCACAAGGCTTGGACCTCGTTGTGCATTGCGCTGCTTGAGCAAATCGTGATTTCGAACATGTTTGCCAGAAGCATATACGAGGCGGCAGTTGGAGACCCAGTCCCCGGGTCGACCTGGAGCTCGAGAGTCTGCAACCAGGGTAAGATGGCGACGACCATGTTGCGCTGATGATCGTTACGTGCAGATTTATAATGGAGTGAAAACTCGGAGAAGATCATAAACGCGATGTCTGAGTTGGCCTTTGCAAGTCGCTTTGAGTATTCAAATTGGGCCAATTTGTACACAGCACGCGTCTTGTCGGAAATGCTGATGTCAAACTCTTGAAGATTGGTGCTCTTATGTTGGCGTTCATCTAGAGTGCGGATCAGATGCGCCGCCTGCATTCTGATTTCACGATTTTCGTTGCCCAAGGTGAACACAATGATGCTGAGAATTTTCCAAAACGCGAGGGGATAGTCTGGCTGTTCAATGAGAACCTCGCAAACCACAGTAAAATAGCTCTCCAGCGCCATCGAGGATTCCGTCCGGTAGCATTGCTCGATAGCATGTTCGGCAAGGACGAGATGCTCGGGATTGTGCATCAGGAGGAGCTTAAGCGCTCGTCGCCCAATAGTGTGCATCTTGTGATTGCTTGTAGCGAAAATGGTATCGATCCATGACAGCATGCGTTGAAGGTTGAATGACAGGATCGCGTTGCTGTCAGTTTTGATGCTGATCGGCCCAGCGCACAATGTCGCCATTGCGCTCAGGGCTGCTACTCGCAGATTGTTCTTCTCTTTCTCAAGTGCAGCACTCGCGTTCATCCGATCATGCAAGTCGCGGGCATGGCCGTGATTGGGATCCATCAAATTCCGCTCCGCGGAGTAGCCGCACCAGTCTTCCATCAAGGCAAATGCAGACTTCCGCGATTCGAAAGGCATCCAGCGAGACGGCGTTTTCGATCTGTTGACCCCTTCGAAGACCTCCTCGACTAACCCACAGAAATGGTATCTTAGTCTTTGGAATCGCCAATCATTCTGTACGTCATTGTCGCTCAGAAAGATACGCAGATCCCTCGTGTAATTAACGAGGTTATGCAGAATCCAGTCGTCTTCATAGATATCTTCGAAACGCAAGAAGGCCGCTGTGAGCTTGTATACATGCGTAACTTCCGTTCGTAACCGTTCGGTCTGCTGAGATCGCTGTGGGCTGCTTGGAGTCCTCTGATGGTTGATTCTGGCCTTTGCCTCATCATTGCACTTGATCACCGCGTACTGAAGCGATTCGAGAAGTGTCCGGCAAAGTTTGCGATTGATGGAACCGAGAGCAGAGACCACTGCATCACGTATGGCGTCGGGCGCTGCACCAAGCATTGGAATGATGGCAGAGAACAACGCTCTGGCAGAACTCATCTTGTCTTGTGCTGTTGCAGTGCCTTTGGAGGTCTTCCTTGAATGGGCAGCAGCATCGGCAAGCTGGCTTCGAGATTGGCCCCCTGGAGAACTTAG